GGGGATGTGGCTCAAGTGGTAGCGTGCTCGGCTAGCATGCGTGCGGCCCGGGTTCGATCCTCAACACCACATACAAACAAAGATGTTGTGTCCGCCGATAACTAAAAAATAAATATTAAAAAAAAATTCTCTCACTCTCTCTTTAAAAAAAAAAAAAAAGAAAGAAAATTTGATAACATTTTGCTATGAGCCAAAAGGTGGACCTGAGCAGAACTCTCTGGAAAGTTCCTTGGGACTCTATGATGGTCAACTTGACCAGTCAACTTGATTGGATTAAGAGATGCAGAAGATTAAGAGGCTTCTGGATAAGTCAGTAAGGGTGTGTCTAGGAATGATTGGCATGTGGGATAGCAAACTGAAGTGTTGACCCTCCCTAAGTGTGGGCAGCACCACCCAGGAGGTTGGAGGCTTAAACGGAATAAAAGTTGGAAGAATTAGGAAGCAGCAGCAGATGGAAGCTTGGTTCTTCTTGATTGCTGCCGTGATTCCCTGAGGACATCAGACTTTCATTCACTCTTCCAAAGTAGACTCTGCCAGTGATTTTTCAGGGACTTTCCAGAAGCCTTCAGTCTCAGACGATTCTCTTCAGAATCATCGCTGATTCTTCTTGTTCTGAGGTTCAGCATCTTGGACTGTGCCACTGCTGGTTCCTCCAGCTCTCCAGCCTCCAGAAAGCCATTGTGGAATATCCGGCCTCTGACTGTGTAAGTCAATCTAACAAATCCCCTTTTCATAATCATACCTCYTGTTGGTTCTGTTCCTCTAGAGAACATAGTATAAACCCTAATAAAACCAAAGGGCAGGAGAGGCATGCAGCCCTTTTCCTTTCTGAGAGGACCCACTCTCTCTCTTGAGAGTGTCCCCTTTTTTCTTTTCCTATCCCTTCAATAAACTTAGGCTTACTCCTCTTAGCCACATGTCTGAAATATTTCTGGCATGAACACAAGAACTAGGGTGAAGAGGGGGGGTCTTCATTTCTGCATGAGTTTTCTTTTTTGGTAACAGGGATTGAACTCAGGAGCACTCGACCACTGAGCCACATCCCCAGTCCTATTTTGTATTTTATTTAGAGGCAGGGTCTCACTGAGTTGCTTAGTGCCCCAGCTGTTGCTGAGGCTGGCTTTGAACTGTGATCCTCCTGTCTCAGCCTCCCCAGCCACCGGGATTACAGGTGTGCCCCACTGCACCCAGCTCTGCTTCAGTTTTATGGCAAGACTCTGCCCTAGAACAATTCCTTCATGGAAGGGAGGTTTAGTGAAGCCTGGAAGGGACCTCAGCATTATGGAGGAGCAGGCACTGTGCTAGGTGGCTGCTGGGTGCCTTTTCAACCTTCATCTGAAAAATCTTGTGGTGCCTGAATTTACAGTTAACTGGAGAGGAAATGAATCAAGGATGACAATTGATCTTGCCATTTGAATCTTTCTTGCTTCAAAGATTTTAAACCTATAATGGGCCGGGTTCAGTGGCCCAGGCCTGTAATCCTCAGAACTTGGAAGCCTGAGGCAGAAGGATACCAAGTTCAAGGCCAGTCTCAGCAATTTAGTGAGGCCCTAAGCAACTTAGTGAGACCCTCTCTCAAAACAAAAAATAAAAAGGACACAGGGGATGTGGCTCAAAGGTTAAGCACCCCTTAAGTATCAAAGTACAATAAAATGAACCTAAAGTGAATTTGAGAACTCTGAAAGCAACATGGGAAAAAGCTGTAGCCAGTTTGAAATTGGTTTTATGGTTCAGGTTTTTATTTTTATTTTTGGTATTGGGGAGCAAACCTAGAGGTGCTTTACCACTAGCTACATCCCCAGCCCTTTTTATTTTATTTTGAGACAGGTCTTGATAAATTGCCCAGACTGACCTTGAACTTGTGATCCTTCTGCCTCAGCCTTTCAATTTCTGGGAATTCAGGCATATGCCACCACACCTGACTTGAAGGCTTACCTTTAAGTCACTTGAATTGCTTTGGAACCCAGAAGTTACTTTGATTTCCTCTGTTTGGGAGTGATCTTTATATGAAAGAACAATCAATAGTTAGCACTAGCATTTTATCACGTTCATGAAGCATAAGCAGTGCATATTATAAGTTGGGGAATTATCTGTGATGGCAAACAGGAAATAAATCCCTGAATTCCACGGAAAGGCTTTTTGAGGTACAGGGCTACCAGTTGCACAAAACACAAAAGTGATAGCATTTGAGTCTGATAGTGGAGCAACTGGAATACTGGAGGAATACTCACAATATTTCATAGATTGGGCAAGAGATAAGTATCAGCAGTGAGTGTTTTATCTAGTCATGATGAATGTTTCTGGGAGAAGAATCAGAACAACAAAACTGATAATAGCTAAAATTGCCAAGWTAAAAATGTGCTGTTATGTAAATATTATTGAAAGAATCAATACTTTGTGAAAAAAATACATGTTTGCAAAATTAAACTCAGTAAAATAATGGCCACAAAAAGAAACTCACAGTGGAAGAAGCTATAGTTGATGGTTTGTTTAAAAAAATAATGGTATGAACATAAAAGTAATTTTCCGTGGTAAAATACACATGAAAGGTAAAATGCATATGAAAATATTGAACCTAATAAAAKTAATTTCAGAAAATAAAATGGAACATATCTAGAAGACATAACCATTTGTTCTAGATAACCTAATTAAGAAATTAAATGGGCTCACCAGATTTTTCTGTCAAAATTTATCAATGGCAGTAAAATTTACCAAAAATTTTATTTAAAATGTCACAGGCAAAATGATGTAGTAGTAAAAAAATAAAATGTCAGAGACAGGTAAAATAGAAGACAGGATAGGGGGTCTGGCTCCTAATCTTGCAGTTCTAATTTCAGCTGCAGCTCTTTTGGAAACAGTGAGGTAAGACTTAAATTAATCTCATCAACCATGTGTCTAGAAAATTACAATATTCCACAGAAGTGGCAAGAGAAAGGAATATGTTATTTATGTTCTACTTCAATATCTCAATCATAACCAAATAAACAGCATAATCTAAAATATGTTCTATAACAGTTTGTAAGCAAGACTGCAAAATAGCATCTCCAGGAATCCCTTTTTTCCCTGTGTAGGTCCACATTCTCTGTTAATCATCTAATGCTATTGGCTTGTTTCATATCTTTTAGAAATTCCTTAATTTTTGGCCCAGTCAGGGGATTTTTGTTTAGTTGTTGCAGGATTGGGGGTTGAATCCAGGACCTTGCATAAGCTAGGCAAGTGCTCTACCGCTGAGCCACATCCCAGCCCTTAGGATATTTTTCAAAATGAGTATACAGTTGTCCCTCCATATCCATAGGGGATTGTTTCCAGGACTTCCTGGGATAATAAAATGATTWAGTAAGTCCCTTATATAAATTTAACTGCTTTAGTCTAATTTCTGCACATCTTCTACATCTTTTATATTTAAATCATCTCTAAGTTACTTATAGATGATGTACTCAAWACAAGGCAAATTTTGTATACTCTGTTACTTAGGAAATAATGAAAAGAAAAAGAACTCTTTAAATGTTTAGTACAGATGCAACTTTTTTTCCTGAATATTTTTGATCTGTGAGTAGTTGAATATGCATATATGTAGGGCCAACTGTAATTGTTATTTCAAGAGGATTTAAGGAAGGAATATGGTTTAGGTCTATCATTGAACTATAAACAATTAGGCAAATAATAGCTTGACTAAAAAAATAACTTGACCAAATGGTGAGCACAGGAAAATAAAGATCTATAAACACTTAAAGGAAGCAAATATATGAAAAAATTCATCACTTAAATATGACTAACAGCAGAGGAATGAAATTGATTCCAAGTTATCTAAGGACAGTGAAAGCAGCAGACTTTAACAAATAAAGGTGTATAATAGGAGGGAAGTTTAATTCTTCAAGAAATTTGGGATTAAAATGAGTGAAATAAAAAATGAAAAAACATTGTATCTTGTGCCCAGCAAAAAGCAAGCACCCATTAATTATTTAATAACTGAATGACTTTGTCAGAAATGTCCTGGGATCTAATCCAAGTTCAAATATCAAATGTGGCCATAAACAATCTGATTTATAAGACTAGAAGCTGTGTCTATAGCAAGCAAGAGTTTTTGTGTTTGTATTTTTTAAGCCAAATACCTTTTTAGAAGGCCCATTTGAATCAACTTGTAACTACAACTATCTTTTACTGAAGATAACAGCTCCCCAAAATGTGGTTCTTAATTTTCAGTATTTCACTAAATTTAATGTTAACATAATATGATATGTCAAGAGCTTTGTAATGTTGTGAACAACCAATAAAAAAAAAATGTTAACATAATTTTACTTGAAGTTAAGCAAAGGTTAACCCTGACGCTGGTAGCAGTTTGATTAATACTGATTAATTTTTTGAGGACCATCAAAGGAGAGGGAAAAGTTTTTTTTTTTTTTTTTTTTTTTTTTAAATAGGGTTTATTTTTAGAGACTACAATTTCCTCAGAAAGGGTCTTTCTACTTTTAGAAAAGTTCCTTCATACTTTCCTTGGCATACAAACAGCCCCGGGGTGTTGTTGAATGCAGATTCGGTTAGGCAGGTCTGGGATTAGGTGAGTGCTGTCTCTTGATGCTACGGGCCTGTAGACTATATTTTGAATGGCAAAGGATCAACTCTGAACCATTTTAGGTTTCCTGATCTTTATCTTCAACTTTAATGATTTGATCCCAAAGTGACTGCTTTGTAACTGAATGAAAGTTTCTAAGAAACATCAAGCCTTCTTATCTCCCTCACTTTCAAACGTGGAAGAATTGCCGCTTCAGCCTCGGCCCTTAGTCCTTGATGAACGCGGCCTGAGCTTGCGGAACCTCTGCAAGCGCGTTTACCAGCCCAGATAGTAGTAAACCAGCCGCGGGGAACCCGGGGATACCCGTCCACCTTCGGCCGCCGTCGCTGGCCCTTTCCAGGAAAGCGCGGGCCCGCCCCCGGCGCGCGGCCTCCGATTGGACGGGACAGCGCCGGGCGTGACGTCAGGCCCCGCCTCGCCGCCCTCCGGCCCCGCCCCATGGGGTGGCCTGGCCGTTTGGTCTGGAGCAGCTGAAACCGGTTTGAGCGGAGGCGCTCCCTACCGCTCAGCGCTGCCGCGGATCGCCTGGAGGAGCGCTGGCGAGGTGTGGACGGCGGGCGCCCGGCACCTCAGCCTGCGGCCCTCGCTCTCCGGCGCGGCGGTGCCGCGGACCGCTGACCCGGGGACACGGCAGGTAAGGSTGGCGGGCTGGGCGCCGAGTGCGGGCCGCGGCGGCTGCTCACGTGGCAGGCGAGGTGTCAGGGCAGTCCCAGCCCCGGGACGCGGCCGGGCTGGGGGCGCCCTGCCGAGGGGCTGGCTGGGTCCCGCGGCTGCGGCCGGGGCGCCTCGTCGGGAGCCTCGGCGGCCTTGACGTTCGCTGCGGTAAGTCGGTGGGTGGGAGTATTACCCGCTTTTGTTCGCGACCACGGTTCCCCGGGACTGTCCAGTGCTTGGTTCCCTTTTGAAACATGTGGCTAGAATTTATAGAGTGTAGGACCACCAAGAATATACACAGTACTAAGTTAAGGAACAAAGAAACACACAAAATGCAACAGAAGTCCCCTGAATACCCCTTTCCCACAGCAGTCCCTTTGCCCACTACCACTGTGTCCCTAAGTAACTCCCGTGTCTTGACAACTGTTTTTCCCTCCCAATTGCCTAAAAATAGTGACCACAAAAGAAAACTCCCCAAAGTAGCAGAGTGAGCATTTGATATGGACCAGAAGTCTTGGGCTTGCTTTTAAGTCAAGTTCTTCCTAGGAACCACAGTGCCTTTCTTTACTAGGAATATTCCTATTCCAGGAATAGTCATCAGTGCCCTCGATAAAATTTTGAGGCTGCTGTCCTCCTCCACCTCTCTTAAGCTTTGCTTATTCCATATCTCCCCAAACCTGACTTTTCGGAAAAAGCCTCATGAGTTAGGCGCTTCTTCTGGCCCCTTCCTCCCTCACGCACTGCCTAGTTGCAAAGGAAATCTGGCAGGAATTGTAGATACTTCTTTCACCTTGAGGCAGCTGTTGAGTCTGTAGTACCAGCAAAGAGGAACTGATCAAACCAAGCAAAAGCAGGATGTTTGGATCTGAGGGTGTTTTCACACTCCTTTCTGTCACCCTCCCGGTTTCTGCCATGCTCCTATCAACTTACTCTACCTCTTAATGCTGCTGCTTCTATTTGCTACATTTCTAACAGTTATTACATAACTAAGAAAAAAATACAAGCCATCAGTCTTTTTCCTATTTTTAGTGTTCTAGATACAAATAGCACAAAAATCAACCGAGGTAAGACTGCATAAAGCCCAGTCCATTGCTGGTTTAAGATCTAGACAGTGTTATACAAAATTTAAATCTGCAAAGTAAGACAGGAAAACTGGGCTCAAAGAATTGATGACCACAAAAGCAAACTCATAGTGAATAAAAATTTGGTATGTAAAAAAAGTAGGTTGATGAATCAAATTCTGTGTATAACTCAAACATTAAAGTATATGAAGTACATATGCAATATACATGTATATGAAAGTATATGAAATATATACATCAGAAAATGAAATGGAAAACATTTGGAAAAAATGTTACTGCATTGTTTAGAAAGTTAATGTAGCTTAATGAAATCTACTTCAGAAATACTTTCTAAATAAAAATCCATTAATATGTACATTGTGTTGGATTAAAACATTGAGTTAAAGTATGTAGAGGTCAGAAAAGTGGGATCATGATGATCCTCCACCAAAAATAACAGATTAATTGTAGGGATTTCATATGTTCCTTTACTATAGCTAGTTAAGAGGATCACAGCTGCTGGAGTCTAGAGAAGAGCAAGGCTAATTGGAAATAACTTTTTTCTTGAAGAATTTGGAAAGAAAACAGATTCTTTTTGGCCAGACATACACTCTTTAGCAAAAAATATCTGAGTTCAGTTTACCTCTAAACTAAATGTTCCTGTACCTTGGTTTGTTTAAATCTTTTGTTTCCCAAGCTTGTGAACTGGTAAAGTCAAGGGTTGGGAAAGTTTGTTTGGTAAAAAGAATACAGTAAAATTTATTTTGACAGGTAGTGTGAACTCTAAAATTTTTAAAAATTTAAATTAATTGCAATATCATTTTGCTAAAGTTTTAAAAATGTTACAATAGTTTTAAGCACTACTCAATCTCAGGTGAGATTGACGTTTATCTTTTAAAAGCCCAGTTTTGTTTTTGTTTTTGTTTTATTCAGCAAACAAACCAAAAACTGTCTCAGGAAGTATATGTAGTCTGTGAGATAATAAGTGAATTGTTTTAAAATATCTACATAGTCAGCTCGGTGCATACAGTGACTAGCTTTTTTTTWAAAAAAATCTTATTCTATTTTTCTGTTTATCTGGAAGACCTCCCCCTCTGTTTTGGGATGGTTTTTGTTTGTTTGGGAGAGGAAGAAGTACCAGTGGATGTGTAAATTTTGTGGTCCGAAGTAGATCCGTTTTTTACTTTGTCATTGCTGTTTTGGTGATAGCTGGGTGCCAAAACTGTATGCTTCAACCCTGCACCAGAATTTTGGCCTCTGTTCACAATCAAGTAAACTGCCCTGGTAGCAGCTCTCTCTCTTTTGTTGGGATGATATTTATTTTTGGAGAGTGGAAATTTGAACTGCTTTGCTTGATTTGACTTGTCAGTTCAATGGAAGGTGATGCTTTGAGTTTTGGGGAGGGTTTTGGGGGATGGGGCAATTTTGTGCTTGTATATATAACTTTGTATAGTACATTTACTGCAGCTGTTTACTGCCAAGTTACTATAGCCACTTTATAAAACAACTTTAGGAATGAAAAGCCCAATTTTAATAATCAGCTGATTTATTTCCCTTTTATTAGATTTACAACCTTTCCTGATGGTTTTTTAATATAGTAGAAATCTAGGGATAATTTTGTACCAGCAGTAGTTTTTAAGATATAGAAATGGTTACATCTGATTTCTCTCTTTAAAAAAAAAATTATTTTTTAGTTGTAGTTGGGACACATTACCTTTATTTTTAATTATTTTTATCTGGTGTTGAGGATTTAACCCAGGGCCTTGAACATGCTAGGCAAGCGCTCAACTGCTGAACCAACCACAACCCCAGCCCTATATCTGATTTCTCTTATTGGTTGAATTGGTTATTTAAAACTGGTCAGAGAATATTACGCTCTAAGTGAATTTAGCCAATCCCCAAAAAACAGATGCCGAATGTTTTCTCTGATATAAGGAGGCTGATTCATAGTGGGGTTGGGAGGGGGAGTAAGGGAATATTAGATGAACTCTAGATAGGGCAAAGTGGAGGGAGAGGAGGGGAGGGGGCATTGGGGTAGGAAAAATAGTGGAATGAGATGGACATCATTACCCTAAGTACATGTATGAAGACACATATGGTGTGAATGTACTTTATATACAACCAGATATATGAAAAATGATGCACTATATATGTGTAATATGTAATATGAACTGTAATTCATTCTGCTGTCATATATAACAAATTAGAATAAAATTTTTTTTTTTTAAAGAGAAAGTGAGGGGGGGAGAGAGAGAGAAAGAGAGAGAATTTTTAATATTTATTTATTTTTTTAGTTCTCGGCGTACACAACATCTTTGTATGTGGTGCTGAGGATCGAACCCGGGCCGCACGCATGCCAGGCGAGCGCGCTACCACTTGAGCCACATCCTCAGCCCAGAATAAAAATTTTTTTAAAAGCCAAAAAATAAAAAATAAAATTGGTCAGCAGTGATATATCAACTCTGTAATCATGTAGATGAGATTGTCCTTAGTTTGAGATTTGTGTTAGTAAACCCTGCTAAAGTACAAGTTATAGGGCTGTGGTTGTGGCTCAGGTAGAGTGCTCTCCTAGCATGCTTGAGGCACTAAGTTTCAGTCCTCAGCACCACATAAAATAAAATAAAGATATTATGTCCACCAATAACTAAAAAATAAAAAGTACAAGTTACAGTTTAAGATTGAAGTTGGCCATTTAGCCATTTTGTTGGATGATGAGGTTTATGCTCTCAAAATTAGTTGCTTAAAAATCAAGATTTTTTTTTTTTGCTAGCCTTAAGGTTTCTTCTTCATATGATAGAGGTATGTTAAATGTAAGATTGTAGTGCTTCAGTGAACAATTTTATTAGGAAGAAATATACTCTTACGGTTATACTCAGATTAATATCAGATGTCGTCTTAAATTATTAAAGTATTCCGATAACAAATTAATGAGGGAGTAACAATCTAGAGCTCTTCATTTTGAGAATGTTCTTTGACAATTCCAGAATTGGATGTATATACTTTAAATTGATTTATTTTTTAGTTTTCGGTGGACACAACATCTTTGTATGTGGTGCTGAGAATCGAACCCAGGCCGCACGCATGCCAGGCGAGTGCGCTACCGCTTGAGCCATATCCCCACCCCTGGTGTTAACTCTTAGACACAGAAAGTAGAATGACATATCTTGCAAATTATTTTGATCAAGGACAAGTTTTCTCCAGTCTTGAATTTATTAACTGAAATAGTAGAGTCATCAAATATGGAATTCTTTGTCTAAGTACATCATGACACCAGTATTATAAGAGTATAAAGTGTATTTTTAGTATTACATTTTATAATTGATGTAAATGTGATGATACATAGTTTGTAGCTCACATTGAGCTCTGACTCTTTTTTTAAAGAGAGAGGAGAGGGGGGGGGAGAGAGAGAGAAAGAGAATTTATTTATTTATTTTTTTAGTTTTTTGGCGGATACAACATCTTTTTACGTGGTGCTGAGGATTGAACCTGGGCCGCACGCATGCCAGGCGAGCGTGCTACCGCTTGAGCCACATCCCTAGCCCCGAGCTCTGACTTTTGATCGTATTTCTATAGCTATTATAGGTCAGGTTTCTGAACTTTAGCCTTATTGATATTTGGACCTGAACATTTACATGGAGGGATGTTCTGTGCACTGTGTTCAGCAGCACCCTTGGCCTCTATCCACTAAATGTTAGGAAGAACCCTCTCAGTTGTGACAACTAAAAATGCCTCCTGATATTACCCATATTCCTTAGAGGGTAAAATTGCCTTTAGCGAGAACCAATGATAATAGATACCTTGATGTTGTTAACTGTTGGGTAGCAATATTTATTAAATKACCTTTGTAGAGTTATGCATTTGTTCAGAGGGATGGAAAGGAAGCAGAGAAGAAATAGAGGAATGAATAGCTATGAAAATAATTTAGGATTATTTTATAATCTATAGATGTTAATGAAATTTAGGTGATTAGTTAATGGAAATGATGCAGAATAAAGACATTGAAATTCTTTTAGGAACTTTGATGGATTGGGATTTATAAGTCTTGGAGGTATTAGAAGTTATAGTATGATATATCCTTATGTAGAGTATGTGTTTTAAACTATGTAACTATTTGTGTGTGTTTATATATCTAGATATCAATATGTATGTATGTATTTAAAGCTGTTTCCTGTCTTTCCTCAAGTTACTTAAGTTAGGGGATGATTTATTTGACCAAGAAAGGGAAGAAGGAAAAAATTAGAAAATGTGAAAACAGTAAAAGATCTCAAAATCTTAGAGATTTAGATTTCTATAAATCATCAAAGTGATTCAAAGTCAGGAATGTGAGGATGAATATTCTAGTTGACATAAAATGTGTTACTGGAAAGAAAGGGGGGGAAAAAAACTAGTTAGTTTCAGTGAGTGATACTTTTTTTTGGTTGTTTCCTTGTTACTAAAGTCAGCAGGTCAGGGGTCAGGGTGGTTTGTAATCCCAGCAACTAGGGAGGCTGAGACAGGAGGATTACCTATTCGAGGTCAACTTCAACAGCTTCACAAGACACTGACTCTAAAAATAAAAAGGTCTGAGGATATAGCTCAGCATGAAAGCATCCCTGGATTCAATCTTCATTATCTTTAATAATAATAATAATAATAATAATAATAATTAATAATAATAATAATAATAATAATAATTACATTCCACACCTTATTGAAGTAGAAATCCTCTTGAGTCAAACTTTTTTGTATTTATATTCCCCCCACCCCCCTAATAACATGAATCTGGTCAGGAAAGATAGGTTGAATTCAGAACAGCTGCTTATCAGAAGAGAAAATGTGTGGCAAGAAACTCTTGACTCTTCTTAAGTTTGGACAATTTTCTTAGCAATATTTCAGGTGGGTCCATTCTTACAGAATAGGTTTGTTGTAAATTTTACTTTAAATCTTGTTAGGTATTTCCCAATTAATGAAGTATATAAGGACTCTAATTGTTTTGGTCATAGTTGAGATTGATTTTTCATTTTTTTGCTTTTTGACCTTTTTTCTTTGAATATACAACCCTATGTAAAGCTGCAAAGACATTAAATGTTCTTTTACAAAATGTAAACATAGTTCTTGGTTTTACTTGTTTCATGATGATAACTGTCTAATGCCAGTATTTTAATGTACTGTAAATAACTTTTCTTTTTCTTCCTAGCAAGACATCCTAAAACAAATCCATCAAAATGACACCTTCTCAAGTTACCTTTGAAATAAGAGGAAATCTTTTACCAGGTATTGTACATTTTACTTTAAAACAATTTTTAAAATTAAATGAGCATTTTCCCTATCTAAATTATTTAAATATGGAGTTGTTATTAAAGTGGTCCTAATTTTTAGATGAAAATATCTATAACCTTGCTTATCAGAAATGTGCTGTGAGAACAGTAAATGCTTAGGGGAAAACCTTCCTCTAAGTGTCTCATTCTCATGTTTGAGAAAAGCTGTAGGTTTATTTAATTTTGCACAGAAGGAAAATGGTTGGGCTGTGATTTTTAAATTAACATGAAAATGAGGGAAATTGTGCTAGCTAGTCCAAGAAGCTGGTGAAATATTTAGCTAAAATAACTTTGGATACTTGTATTATCTTTTAGTTTTGTAGAATTACTGTGAGTACTCTGAGTAGTCTGTAGAAGTACTATGAGTTAATTTTAGTTTAGATAGCATATCAAAACAGTGCTACACCCGGTTTATGGACTTCTCTCTTTAAAATACTGAGTATACTGGCTACCTTTCAGTTCCTCAAATCTGCCATGTTCCTTCTCCTTTCCTCTTCAGTTTTTCTCAAATGGTTTCCTATGTCTACTCTGTGTCCCCACCCCACCCCCACTCCTAACTTCCATAGTCCACAAGGTGAGGACCCCTGCAAAATTTTCTTAATGTCTGGCACTGTTTTGTAGCATATTCTAAAGATTTTATTAAAATTATTTCAATATTTTTTTATTGTTGTGGGCAGATTGTAAACTCTGTGAAAACATGGTCTTGTTTATGTCAAATTCCTGCACCTAGCATAGTGCTTGGCACAGACTAGGCGTATAGTAAACATGTATTCAAAGAATAAATTAGTGACTCACTCTGTAGCTAACATCTTTATTCTAGCAACCTTCATGGCAATTGGCAAAGAGTGTGTGTGTGTGTGTGTGTGTGTGTGTGTGTGTGTGTGTTTTCAAGTTCATGTTGTCAAGATAATCTGGTACAGCTCTACCTCTGGGTAGATTTTGCAGTTTGAATATTGCTAGTCACCTGACTTATTGACTCTAGAGGGCCAAGTGCTCACCTCTGGTCCTGTATGTAGCCTCCTGAAGAAAAGACAGAAAAACTATATTATACCCTTTAAGGGAGTTGTGAATAGGCAGTTTTAGCTTGAAGGAGCTGGCCATGTCAGGCAGATGGACTGGCCACAGAATTTCAGCTTTATGAGGGGGGACACATTCTCAGGGACTAGAATGAAGTAGATAATGGTGCCTATTGACTCTATAGGTGGGAAGGAGGAAGTAGAGGGATAGGGAAGAGACATGGGAAGACTCCACTCCTACCTTCCATAGCATCCCATCGCCTTGATTTCCTCTTTGCAGCATGATCACTGTTGAATGTGGAGAGTAGGGAGTACAGGGATGCATGATTAGAAAGAAAAGTGAAAGGGAAGGAACAAGTAAGTAAAAAGGATATGTATGGGGGGGAGTCCTCTACAAATTCTCTTTAGTTAGCATTCACATCTTTGTACTCTCTTAAAAATGAGGGCCAGTTAAAGATAGAGGTGGATTTGTTTTAATAAAATGTTTCCTTTTTTTTTTCAGAAATGTATTCCCAGGGAATCAGTAGAAATACAAAGTAAAATTGGTAAAATGCAGGCATACCTATAGATGAGAAGTATTCAGGTGAAAAAAATAGTCATTATTTGAGTGAGGAGTACTAGATTTTTCACTATGTCTTTGTTTTGAGGGTTTTGCTATTGTCCCATTGATAAAGTTCTTGATTAATAGTTAATAGTCACTGTTTGAATTCTTGGAAAACATTGGTTAATATTTCTTTAGAAGGCTTACATGCATTTAGGGTTTGTCTTTTTAGATGGGAAACTGCCTTGAAGGCAGTAACTGTGGCTTGATCACTTTGTATTCTTGAGTGCTTGTTACTATCTCAGTACGAAGTTGAACAAATGAAGAGAATTTCTTCTGTGTACCTTCCCATTTTCTCTGACTTTGGTTCTAGAGAGGTGAGTCAAGTTAAATAAAATATAGGTGCTAGTGGGTCCCTGGATCTTCCCCATGTTTCCATGTGAAGCTTTTCTATCTTGGCCAAAGAACACACAGCCAGTTGAACTAGTGCAAAGGGTTATTCTTTTCTTGTTTCCTGAACTTGAAATTTGAAACTTTCCTGCTTAGGAAAAGACTTTTGTATTTCTTTAGGGGAAGTTTTTGCGATATGTGGAAGTTATGATGCTTTGGGAAACTGGAATCCACAAAATGCTGTGGCTCTTCTTCCAGAGAACGAGACTGGTGAAAGGTAAGCATGGCAATGTCAGGTTACAGAGTAATTGTGACATTCACATTATAAATGGAGGAACTACTAAGATACTTTAATACACTTTTAATATACTTTATACTAGTCTATAATTTTTCTTTAATTTATGTCAGAATATTACATGAATGCTATTTAAGGAGTGAAATAGTTTTACAAAGTTTTTGTGAAAAACTGGTTTCTCTGTTCCTCAATCTCTTTCCTCAACCATTTAAAATTCTTTTTTTTTTTTTTATATTTATTTTTTAGTTCTCAGCGGACACAACATCTTTGGTATGTGGTGCTGAGGATCAAACCCCGGCCGCACGCATGTCAGGCGAGCGCGCTACCGCTTGAGCCACATCCCCAGCCCCATTTAAAATTCTTGACTGGTTCTTTGGATACTTACTGCTAAAGAGCAAAATTGTCTTTTTGGTTTCTCAGTTCAACTTTTTTTAGTTTTGGCGATCAAATCCAGGGCTTCACATGCGTTCTACCCTTGAGCTATATCTCCAGCCCTCAGTACATGTTCTAGATAAGACATCCAATTAATTTTGTTTTCACCTATGAAATTTATATCCTTGAGAAATACAAGATATTAATTAAAAAGATTAGAGAATGGAACACACACTTCGGTATCTTAACTAATAAAAAGGAATGTAGCACTAAACAGCACAGATGCAGTGAACTATGTGAAGGGGAATCTGGGTGTCACCAATATTCAGTTAACTAATCTTGGGCAAGTCTAATGTCTGTAGGTCTCAGCTCATCTACCTAGTAAAGGGGTTAGACTAGTAGATAGTCAACAGAGGTGGCCTTTATCCTACTTCTCAATATTTGGAAGTGTTATGCATTGTCTTAAATAGTGTACAAGTACATCCAGTGCCACTATAAAAAATACCAGCTAAGGAAGCCAAGTGTGGTGGTGCTTGCCTGGAATCCCAGCATCTCTAGAGGCCAAGGCAAGAGGATTACAAATTCAAGGYCAGCCTCAGCAACTTAGTGAGACCCTGTCACAAAACAAAAAATGAAAAGGGCAGGGGATATATTTTAGTGAGAAAGCTTTTATGGATTTAACCCCCATTAACAAAAAATAAAAAAGGAACATCAGGTGAGGTGATTATTTAAGACTCCTTAGGCTCAAAATTAATTTTCCCATAAAGCAATGCTACTAAAAATATGGCTGGTAGTCCTATCCAAAGGACTTTTTTTCAATCAGTGATATGAACTGATACCAAATTTTAAAGTGCAGAAATTGAGARCAAGCATTCAGAAATGTACATGGTAAACATCGTCTAAGGCTCATCTCATTGAACTACATGTGTAGATGAGGAGTATTGGTCATTGGACACATTGAATAAAACAAATCAGCAGACAAGAACTGGTCCTCTACAGTAGTGGCTTGAGGAGCACGGATGGCAAAATCTAGGAAAACAACAAAGAAAAGTAAATCAGTACCATATTGTGAGCCAAGGAAAGAAAAACAGAAGCACACAGAATATCCCTTTTCCTGTTTGTCAGTCGTGTGATCCATTTTCCCTTCTGGTCTTCAGCTGTTTTTATAGGTAAAGTTTTTGGTATATACTCCTTGTTAGACTCTCCCAGAGGGACAAGTTGTTTATTTTTTTTCAAGTGGCCATTTTTTCTTTGATTTTTCAGATCAATTATCCTGTCTGCATTGAAACTTTTCTGAACTTTTCTCTAAAACACACTTCTGCTTGTCTTGAATTATTTCAGCCACCCTAGTCAAAGTGACGTGGACCGAATGACACAGTACTTAAACCTATCGAACCTTAAGGGACCAGCCATTTATACATTGCCGATGTATGCCAAAATAAAGCCAAGTCATAGGGAGTCATATATAGCAGATAGACAGTGTGAGTGCTTCACAGGGAAAAAGGAAGTGCTTTTCAAGAGTACAAGAGAATCTGCTTGCTTTCAAGTGACATTTTTTTTTTTTTTGAGAGAAAGAGAGAGAGAGAGAGAGAAAATTTTTAACATTTATTTATTAGTTTTCGGTGGTCACAACATCTTTGTATGTGGTGCTGAGGATCAAACCGGGGCCGCAAGCATGCCAGGCGAGCGCGCTACCACTTGAGCCAAATCCCCAGCCCCAAATGACATTTTTTGTATTTTAGAAGTATGGCATATCTTTGGGATTTCAATRTGTTCTACCTCTAGGGCCTGTGTCCCTCTTGTTCACATTCTCTTTAAGCTTATTACTAGTTTTTGGTGCCAGGTGGTAGGTAGAGCTCTGTTGGAACTTTTTTCCTACTTACAGATCATTTGAAGGTTGTAGTAATGTTTCCTAAGAAGGGTGAAGATGTGGGTCACTTATGATTTTATTTGCTTTTTTTGGATATTTTATTGACACTTTAGGAGAGGATAGGAGCACATTTCAACCTTGTACTCAATTTCATTGCCCTTTTTCCTGAAATTTAATCAGATTATGTTCAATCTTGAATTCACTGAACTCATGAAACAGTTCTGGATCATTTTTTAACTTAAGAAGCATTCTGTTCAAGAAGTGAAGTAAAAAGACGTGGTGTATTGATTTTTCCATCGCTTTATTTAGTAATTCTTAACCAGAGGAATACAACAGAATCACTTTTAAAAAAATACACATGCCTAGATCCTGCTTCTGGATACTTCGAGGTAGTGGATGGGAGAGGAGCACCAGCACATTTTTCAAAGCTTATCACTAATTCTTCTGTGCACATCTGGAGCTAGTTCTATATATTCTGGCTGGCTGCATGGAAATCTTCCCTCTTCTGCCTTTTTTTAGATATGGTAGCAGCAGAAATAAGTTGATGAATCTACCTGAAACCCTCTGTTGAAAAGGATTTTGAGGCTTACCGATGTAGAGCATTTGTTATCCTTGCTTTGTAGCAGTGATAGGCAACTGGCCATATACATCTGATTGGCCTGTAAAGTTTTATAAGTTCTGTGTGGCTAGGTACCACCTAAAGACTCATGAAGTCAGAATCTCCCAGGGTGGATCCTGTGCAGGCAGGCTGGCAGGTAGGCTGGCATACATATAGGCATACACACGTGCACGCGCACACACAAAAATCATTTGGAGCTGCTGTATGCACTGAACTACTCATGCTGAATTAATGATTAGGTAAWGGTCTGTGTCTGTGGCTCTCAACCTTAAGTGTTCATCAGAGTCACCAGGAACCTTGTTAAAATACAGACTAGAAGAACCTCTAAAGCACAGGAAATAATGCCAAGAGTTAAGAGGGATGACATCAAATTAAAAAAGCAAAAGAAGCAATTGGGAATGTGAAGAGAGAATGTACAGGATGGGAGAAAATCTTTGCTAGCTACTCTTCTGACTGAGGATTAATATCTAGAATAAAGAAATCAAAAAATTTTACATCTGGGCTGGGGATGTGGCTCAAGCGGTAGCGCGCTCGCCTGGCGTGCGGCCCGGGTTCGATCCTCAGCACCACATACCAACAAAAGATGTTGTGTCTGCCGAGAACTAAAAAATAAATATTAAAAAAATTTTCTCTCTCTCTCTCTCTCTCTCTCTCTCTCTCTCTCTCTCTCTCTCCTCTCACTCTCTCTTTAAAAAAAAAATTTACATCAAAAAAAACAAACAAACAAATAACCCTATTAATAAATGGACAAATGAGTTGAATGGATTCTTCTTAAAAGAAGAAATATAAATGACCAAAAAATATGAAATAATGTTTAACATCATTGGCAGTTAGGGAAGTGCAAGTCTTCATTACACTGAGATTTCATCCTATACCACTCAGAAGGGCAGTCATCAGGAATACAAAAAATAATACATGCTAAAGAGAGTATGAAGAAAAAGGAACACTTTTACATTGGTGAGATTGTAAACACTGTGGAAAACCAGTATGGAGATTGTTCAAAAAATATGACCCATCCATACCACTCCTTGGTGTGTGTGTGTGTGTGTGTGTGTGTGTGTGTGTGTGTGTATATATATATATATCAAAGAATTTAAAGTCATTATACTACAGTGATACATACATACGCATGTTTATAGCAGCATAATTCACAATAGTCAAACTATGGGATCTGCCTAGGTGCCCTCAGTGGATGAATGGATAAAGAAAATGTGGTATATATACACAATGAACTTTTGTTCAGCCATAAAGAAAAATGAAATTATGTCATTTAGAGAAAAATGAATGGAACTAGAGGTGATTAAGCAAAACAAGTCAAACTCAGAAGTTCAAGTGTCATATATATTCGTTCATATCTGGAAGCTGGAAAGGAAAAAGAGAAAGGTGTGTGGTAGGGGGAATCTCATGAAAATCAAAGAGATCAGTAGAGGAAAGGGGCCAAGTGGGTGGAAAACAGGAAGGGAGTGGGGAAGTGCTGGGGAGTGATCTTGGCCAAATTATATTGTGTGCATGTGTGAATATATAACAATCTCATCATTATGTACAACTATAATTCACCAATTAAAAAATGTGAGTTTCTAATTCAGTAGGTCTGGATGGGTCCTGAGAATCTGCATTTCTAACATGTTTCCAGATGATACTGATACTCCCAGGACTCCACTTTGGATATCAGTGGTCCCTCATTTGAAGCTACAAGATCAGTTAAAATCATGAATCACAGTTGAGGCAGCTGTAGCATAGTTCAGAGGAAGACATTGAGTTGAAGCAAGTAACAGATACTAAGTGGGTGACTTGGGAATAACTAGAGCCTGAGTAGTAATATGAGTGCAACTTGTCAGTGTTCTCTCCTTGTGACCTAAAGCCTTTCAGCCCAAAGCCTCTTAGCAACCATGTAACATCCCAAGCTAAGTAGGAAGGCAAGAAGATTGTGATATAGGCTTTCACCTTTGCATTACTTGGATTCAGTTCAGATAGTTCTTCATCACTGAGGCCTTTGTTCCAAAGGCATCTCTAAAACTTGGACTGTATTGCAGGGCACAGTGGTACATGCCTGTAATCCCAGTGGCTCAGGCAGGAGGATCAAAAGTTCAAAGCCAGCCTCATCAACAGTGAGATGTTGAGCAACTCAGTGAGACTCTGTCTCTAAATAAAATACAAAATAGGATTGGGGATGTGACTCAGTGTCGTGCCCCTGAGTTCAATACCTGGTACCCCCTCCCCCCAAAAAAACAAACAAACCATGCAGTGAATTTTGTTTGCTTATTTGTCTGTCCACATAGGAAAGCAAACTCCTTAAAGATGGGGCTGTCCTACAGTATTGCTGTGTTTCTGTTACCTGCTGTAGAGTAAGCCTGTGTTAAATTTTGTGTAGGAATAAATGGATGGTATTGGCCACATACTGTATCTGAGAGGTTTTGTGAACTGTGAGTTGTTTATGTATAATTTTAGTTTGATATTGATGCTGCTTTGATTTTTTTTTTTTCCCCCTTACAGCATGTTGTGGAAAGCAACCATTAAACTCACTAGAGGCATATCAGTTCAATATCGCTACTTCAGAGGGTGCTTTTTAGAACCAAAGGTATGTTTTCTTTATCTAGTTTCCAATTTCTTTATTTGCTTATTTCAAAAGCAACTAGCTTAACTTTGAAAACATTAAAAATAAAATGAGTTTGTTTTGGTCAAATAAGGAATGGAGTTCTCAATAACATTTTAGTACCAAAACCCAAGTAAGTAGCCACTTCAGAGGCAGATGTTGTCTGCCATGGAATTTTTAAAAGACTGATAGTAAGTATCTTCTGCAATATTCTTATCATGAAATTTGTTTTAATGATGAATGTTCTCTATAGGTTTGCATTTTTGSTAACTTTTGTAAGTTAGTAATCAGTTACAAAGGTTTTTGTTTTTTGTTTTTTTTTTAAATTTTATACCATGTAGATATATTAAGAGGAGCACGTAGCCAGCTTTAAATGGTTAATTGTTTTAAAAAATTATTTCCCAGCAGTCATCTCTTAGTGACTGTTATTTAACTCCTATCAATATTGAAGTGATTCCTCCTAGATTTTTTTTTTACAAGGTAGTATTGATTGGCCAGGATCTTTTCTGAAAGTCTTTGGGATATCTGTTAATTCTCAATCTGCCTTTTCACAGTGATTTATTATTTTGGGATTGTTTTCATATTTAGATAAGAATAAAAGTTGATTCTTTTTCTCTTAGTCTACAGATACTTATTTGCTGAAAGGATTCTTTTCCTTCAGATTTTTACCTTTGACACTCTTAGGCTGCATGTGAACAAGAGTTTAGGCAGGGATCTAGGAAAAACACAGATTAGATCTTTTTTAAAAAGTATTTCCCTTGGGAGTCATTAGATTCTTTTGCTACATGTGAAAAATGCAAGCAGTCACTGTTACCTCATTTTCTTAGCCACCATTACAAAGAAGAAAGAAAACTGACAACCCCATTTCAGCTGTCTTTTGCACCTATTACGTTTTTTTTATTCCGAGTACTTTGTAAATACTAAGTAATTGAACTTAAATTACATTATGGTTGATCATTGTGTTGGCTTATCTTGACAATGATCTCACTTTAACAACCTAAGAAAAGAGCATCTATTATTTATTTGCATAGGGCCACAACACCATGGTGAAGATTTTCAGTATAAATTGAACTATTGTGTCTAGCTACATAGGCCACAACACTCCTGACTTTGGAAGTTTGAGAATCCTGGTGTGTGAAATCTAGCTTTGTATCATAGTAAATCAACTAAATTTTACTTGGAATTTGGAAAAGAAAAATCACAATAAGTCCTCGGCATAGTTTTCTAAAGTAAGACTATTGTCAACAGGTAAAATTAAGCCAACCTGTAATATTTTCTACACTTCATTGAAAATGTAACCAAAATAGCAATCAGTCCAAAATGCCTTTTTGAAAAATTGGCAAGAAGTCTCCTGAACAGTAAAACAAACAAATAACAAACAAACAAAAAACACAAGTTTATCCCCATGTAATACTTGCAAAAGTTTACAGTATGTGTTGGTGAGTGTGTTTCTTTAAGTAGGTGCTTGCTCTGTATCGTGTACACATGTACCGTGTGATGCAGGGGCTGCCATGGTAAGTATGTTTTTCATGGAATAGAGTAAATAGCTGCATAAAATTCCATGTATATGGCTATTTTTCCACATGCTGGCTTAAAGTGATACTTATTTTAAAATAAGTCTGTGGCACTTTTTAAATAAAACATTTTTACTATAAGTATTATCAAAGTTTGTCTTAATTGTGTATTGTCAAATGATAAATGTAATGTGCAGGGAATCTTAAATCAAGAAATGATGTAAATTAATGGATTATATTTTTATGGTCATAAATAATGATAGGAAAGCAAAACAATGATGCAAGTATTAAAAAATCGTTATGGGAAGTAATTAATTATTGGATCAAAAGTTTAGGGGGTACTCTAACTAGGCAGTTGTAGAACCTAAGCTAAAAATCTGTTATTTTTGGACAAGTCACTTGGCTTGTATAGTTTAGCTGCTTCCAACTGTAAAATGAAGGGTTTGAACTTCAGGTTTCTTAGATTCCTTTCATTACTAAAATTTTATTGTGAGCAAATAAAATTTTACCATTTACATTTTCTCGTCCATACTTTGCTTTTTTTGGCATGTTCCTTTTAGTTTAGAATTTGAGCTCTGAAGTCCTTTTTTCTCAGATATGTATTTTTACGTTTTGTAAAATTAGTGAGGTGTTGATATGTTGAATCTTAATAATTTTACACGTGACAAGGCAAACTATTATCTTACTTAAGCTTAGCAAATAAAAGTAATGAGTATTCCTGAATGAAAACATTTGAGTCTACAGTCCCATTAATGTCACATCTTCACCAAAGATACTTTTGAATTTGCATGTAATTTAAACATTTTTTCTTTATTCATGTTCACCCCTATTTGCTGGTAACTAGAATTAGGGGTGTTTTCTCATTGTGAAATGTTAGCCAGTTTTTAATTATCCTTTGAAGACTTTGTTCTTTTTTTGTGTGAAAGTAGGTCTTTATGTTTCAGTAACACATCTATTTCTAATGTTTACAGGTGCTAACATTCAGTTAGATTCAATACAAATTCTTATTTTGATCTTAATCTCCCTTGATTTTTCTTTAAATCCTTGAACAAGAAAATCATCTGTCAGAGGTCGATAATTGTTAATTTTTAAAATAGCTTAGGTTGTCATTTTGTGGAATGGTTTCTTACTATAGTGAAGTTCTGTGTGCTAACTGCTCCTAGCTATCCACTTGAGATTTGAGCCACCTTAGAGATACCTGTTGACCTAGCTTCCTCAGTTCTAATCAGTGACCATTTTTCTTACTGGTCTTACAAAAAATAGTGATTTTTTAAAATAGCAGTGCGTTTGGCTTCTGTATGACTTCATAAATAAAAATTACTCAGTCCTCTTTTACATACAAAATTGTGGTAAAAATGTTGGAAGTTCATATCTGCAGTGATAGTACTAGAATTCACTGATAATTTTGCTTACTGGTTTGTTCAGAAACAAACCCCTAGTCAATGTGTTGGACAATCTTATTTCCTTCTCAGTGCTTGATGTAGCCAAGTAATGTCACTGTTTAAGAAAGCAATAATTAAGATTTTTTTCCCAGAAACAAATTGATTTTAAATGTTTTTAAATGTTTGTTAACATACATATTCAAAAACATTCCTATATTCATCTGATTTTAGATATACTAAATGTGAAATAACTCTATTAGTATTGTTTTATTGTCTTGGACTGGTATTCTTCCTTTTTTCTTCCAAAGATCCACCTTCTACCTTACTCTGAACTTAAAATCATTGCAGTATTTTGCAGAATAGAACTGTTCGTTTTCTAAAATGTTGACGAATGAATTATTACAGTTAGTATATTAAAAAGAACGGCATGTTTGAGAATTTGAATTTCCCAATATTTAGGGTTTAGCTTTTATTTTTTAAAAGGACTTCAGTAAAGCTAAAATTTAAGATTACCTTCTCAAGTTTAATAGAGTAGTAATATCAATTTTGGAAGTTAAGATGTATTTTAAGAGTAGGTTCCCCTTTTTTTTTTTTGGTTATTATATCACTTTGTATACCAGCCAACATGGATTTGTAATGTGAATGCTAGTAAACATCATCTTAAAAATCATCTGTTGAGCTGTACCTATGGACTGCCCCTCAGACACACTATTCAAGAACTGGGGATGTAGCTTAGTGGTTGAGTGCATGCTCAAGGCCCTGGGTTTGATTCCTGGAACTGCAAAAAATAAATAAACAAACAGAAAAACAGCTCTGGGGCTAAAGATATAGCTCAGTTGTTAGAGTGCTTGCCTTGCATGCACAAGGCCCTGAGTTCAACCTCTAGCACCACATTATTTCTAGGTGATTTTATGGCATGAGTGATGGGTTTGTTACTAAAATAGATGAGTGGGAATATTAAAGTTGCTACTAAATAAGTTTCCTATCAAATATTTTAATACATACACAGAACTGTCCTTATGTGATAGAGCAGTCTGAATTTTATGTTCTCCTGACACTTGAATTAAAAGAAAATGAAAAAAATCTTTTTCTGTATTCACATTTTTATTCCTGTTGACGTATTAACAGCACGCCTTTCAAATCTAGTAATTTTTATGAGAATGTAATCCCATATAATTAGGGGGGAGAGGTGAAGGAAAGGCATAGATCATTTTGGCTGTTTTTCATTAGTAAAAAAAATTGTTCCTTTTTTTTTTTTTTTGATACTTGGGATTGATTCTGTGGGTGCTTTATTACTGACCTGCCTCCCCACTCCTTTTTTATTTTGAGATGGGGTCTTGCATACTTGCTTAAGGCCTGGCTGAGTTGTTGAGGCTGACTTTGAACTTTTAATCAATTGCCTCAGCCTCCTGAGTTGATGGAATTATAGGCATTCACCACCAAGCCTAGCTTTGTTCCTATTTTTAATGTATATGTGTTTCTCTCTTTTATGGGTTAAAAGTTAAATGTTTAAAAAACAAATTTAAAATATATAGCAGGAAAGAAGTTGTATTAAAAAATATCTAGTGGAAGGAAAATACATGTATTTCCTCTTTTAATATAATGGAAATGATATTCACATTTTAAGATGAGTAGTTTAACATTATTACACTTTTTTTTTAATCTACTCAGTCTACCAATTTGTAAATAAACCCTTACAGCAAGGAGGTATTTAGCTAGAGAAAGATCATTTCATTTATAATTTTAGGATTAACAATTTCAATGAATAATGCTGTTGTAGTTTTTAAGCTTCAAAAGTTGCAAATTTAAAAAAATTTAACCTGGTTATTTGAAGTGATTAAATTATCTCATGTTTAATTAATAATGTCCCTCATTTGTTACATACTTGTTATCATTTGGCACACTTATCAAATATAGTCAATCAGTATTAAAATCCAGTAAGATATGTAGAAGAGTGTTTGACATCATCTAAAGATGTACACTCTACAGATGGAAACTATATGTTCCAGTATTTTTAGTATATGCCTAGGAAAGAGCTCAAAAGGTTTATATGAAAATATTGATAATGATTATCCCAAAATTCTGTGCTACTAGATTTTTATATAATTATGTAATTAAATTTCTTTATGTAAATAAAAAATAACAGTATCTTGGAATTTTGATAAATTTTGAAATTTTGCTTTTAAAATGTGTATTGAAGGGGCTGGGGTTGTGGCTCAGTGGTAGAGTACTTGCCTTACATGCATGAAGCACTGGGTTTGATCCTTGGCACCACATAAAAATAAATAAATAAAATAAAGGTATTGTGTCCATCTACAACTAAAATTTTAATTAAACAATTTTTTAAAAATGTGTACTTAACAGCTTTATTTTAATCTTAGTTATTTAATTATTTAAGATTCTTAATTAAAAAGTACAATGCTTTAAAATTTCAGTCTTTCAGGGAACCTGAATATACTTTAAAATTGTTGTATGTTAACACATACAGCTTTATTTTTTCTTTTTTAGTAAAGGAATGTGATACCAGAAGACAGTATTAGGAATTGTCACAGTGTATGAATTTATAAACTCTTAGGCATAAATTGGACATTAATTCCCCTATTATCACACTTGTTCTTCAGGTTTACCTGCCCTGTGTCCTTTCTTTAGTGGGTTTTCTGTCTTCTTTAAAGACACTGGTCACAGTGATATGACAAATCTGATGTTCTTATTATTTCCCACTTAGTGTTCTTCAATAAATGTAATGAAAAACTTTATTATGCCTTTTAATTCTTTGAGTAACTTGTGATAATTGATCTCAAAGTACTCATTCCTACTATTTCTCATATTGTAGTCTTGTTTAAAGTGTTTTCCAAACACTTTTCTTAAATAGAGGAGGGAGATGAATGTTTTATCTGGCAGTTCCTATGCTTGCCAACATTCCAGAGTATATTTGATATTAACTTATGACAGAAATAATATCAGATCAAAATGAAAATTTGAGTATTGTAGGCTCATTTACAAATGGGTTTAAGAGAGTTTTGTGTGCCAGTTCATCTCATTTTTCTTTATTTACTGCCTCACTTTTTATTTTTTTTCCAGCATTACATCATATTTTGTAACCTGGGTACATTCTTGATTTTGGCATATAATATTGATAATTACCGAGATGAATCTCTTGGTCTCATATTTAGTATAAGATTTAGGCCACAAACATCTAATGGAGTCATGGGTAGAAAATAAGATATAAGAAATTATTGCAGACGTTTAACTTTTAAATTGCAGACTATCGGTGGTCCATGTCAAGTCATAGTTCACAAGTGGGAGACTCATCTACAACCACGATCAATAACCCCTTTAGGTATGGGCATTAACTGCATCTGTTTGAGGCATATGCATAAGTTACTAATATGCTGCACAATGGCTTAGTGGGATTTAATAAATTTCTATTCTAAAGTTTAAAGTTAATGCATTGTTAGTACTACAAATTTCACTTAGCGTTTCATGAATCTTATTTTCAAAACTAAACAGTTATTATAAATTGCCTTTACAAATTTTATTAGAAATGCTTGCCTAGTTATTTTTGTTTTCTTGGGTCAGATTAGTTTATTATGAAATACTTGCTTTCATTTTGAGGGGTTAGGAAGTTTATAACATTCTTCTTGACTGAGCATCCATGGATTTATTTGATTGCTTGCTCAGGCTTAGTAAAAGAACATTTGATGAATGAATTAATCCAAAACAAAAACTTCATAACTTTTAGCTTTGAATAGTAAAGGTACTAGAATAAATCATTCTTTTTTTAAATGAGTAAATACTTGGATAAACTTGTATGAGTGAATTCAAATATCTTTGTAGTTGACATAGATTCTTGCTAGCTTATTTAAATTCCCTACTGCCTTTTGGAAGTGGTAATCCCAAGAGTTGTTTTTTTTTTGAACATTATTCAGCTTTCTTGTGCCTAAAAATGGCATTTCTCTTCATACAAGTATTTTTTAATTTCCTTTTCCATACTGAAAGTAGAATTTGAAGTTCATTTTACATACATTAAGTTACCCACTTGTATTCATCTGTATATTAACTTACTGCTGAAAAATGTATCTTTCAGTTCCTAGGCAAAGTTAAAATCTAAGAATGATAACTCATTTACTAATTTACTAGCTTAGATTAATAAAGAGTGGGAGTTTCTGCTTTACCTTATATCAGGACACATCTTGTTTAAATAGATGTCTCATTCCATCCTCTTTATTGGATTTTCTTTTTATGTGTTTTATTGCATTTTTAATAGTGTAAATTAGAATCTTTATGGTAGTATACTTTATAATTCTATTATAATTCTAATAGTCCCATACTGAGGTTGGAACTTACTAGGTATTGAACATTTTAAGAAAGTAATTTGCATTTGAAGTTTCTTGTAGTTAAATACATTGTCTTATTGTGAGAAGTGAAATGATTTTGTTTCTTCTCTTTTAGAAAGAAATATATTCTATATAATTTTTAAACTTACAAGCTGTGTGAAATCTACCAGAAAATTTGTACTATCAACTGTATTTCAAGTATTTCAAACTCATGTTTAAATGAATATGGGAAGGGAAGTAGGAGGGACAATTAGTATTTAGAGGCTTGGATCTCAAAGCTTTTCTCATTTATTTGAATGTTAGGTGAAGGGGATATGCTAGCATTTATTCTTTTTTTGGTAGTTCCTCACAGCTCTGTATATGCAGGTAAGTTATACTGTTTGTAAAGCTTTTAGCTTGCTACAGATTGTAGTTGGGATTTGAGGAGAATTACATTTTAGACAAGTTCAGAATATGCACTGCACAAGAATAAGCATTTTAATTGTGCCAAGACTTTTTTTTTGAAAATTCACATGGAGTTACCATTGTCCAGCAACCTGTTAGTTTTGTATATTGGTGGGTGTAGAAGTTCATCCCAGTGCCTCTAGAGCACCTCTCTGTGGAGTTTTCTTTCACTTCCTTATGCTATCATGGATAATGACAAAGTCTGTAAGAACTGTACTACTTGTTAGTCTCTTTAAAGGGGAATTCTTTATAGAGGGCTACAATAAATATGCTTATTCACTTTATGCTGCTTTTAAGTTGTAGAAAAACTTTAATATTTTAAACAGTCCTTAAAGTTGGTAATTTCTCAGCCGTTCATTCTTTAAACATTATGAATTTTAACGATGTCTTCTATTTTCCTTGAATTCTAGAAAATGAAATTATTATTGATGATGGACAATTTGGAATCCACAGTAAGTGAGAGTGAATTTTGAAATGTCCACTGATGTTTTTTGTGCGTATACATGTGTGTGTAAATATATATATATATTTACACACACACACACATGTCTTTTAAAAGTTCTTTTTTTTTGAGAGAGAGAGAGAGAGAGAGAATTTTTAATATTTATTTTTTAGTTCTTGGCGGACACAACATCTTTGGTATGTGGTGCTGAGGATCGAACCCGGGCCGCACGCATGCCAGGCGAGCGCGCTACCGCTTGAGCCACATCCCCAGCCCCTTTTAAAAGTTCTGTTGATGAAAAACCTTAGGTCTAGTTGACAGCTTCTTTGTTATTTATGAAAATTGTATTATATATAAACTTCAAGTTAAAAATTGGTAAAATAATACTATTACCAATGTGTGACTTTTTTATGGCAGGATATATAAATAGGAGTCTGTAAAACTAATAAAAGTTTTGTTCTTACCTTCTCTTATCTCAAACCCAGACTAGTGGCATAAGTAGTTTCAGCTAAAAGTTTCTTTTTTTGTTTTTAATAAATATAAGCCATATAGCTTTTTTTTTTTAATTTTAATATTTATTGTTTAGTTTTCAGCGGACACAACATCTTTGTTTGTATGTGGTGCTGAGGATCGAACCTGGGTCGAACGCATGCCAGGCGAGCGCGCTACCGCTTGAGCCACATCCTCAGCCCTCAACTAAAAGTTTCTTATGAGGGCAGGGGAGGAGAGGGGAGGGGGGATAGTAGAGGATAGGAAAGGCAGCAGAATACAACAGACATGAGTATGTCAATATGTAAATCAATGGAAGTGTAACTGATGTGATTCTGCAATCTGTATACSGGGTAAAAATGGGAGTTCATAACCCACTTGAATCAAAGTGTGAAATATGAGATATCAAGAACTATGTAATGTTTTGAACAACCAATAAAAGAAAAAAAAAAGAAATGTAATACGATTGATTTTACTGTTGGGAGAGTTGCAGAAATAGCCTATAGGATAAGCTTGTAGAAAACATTGCAAGTTTCTTATGGAACTTTGGAAATGTAATGATCCCTAATGGAACAATTGCTATGTTAGGAATCATTTTGGAACATGTTCTCTTTCATTGTAGATATGGATTACTTCAATAAAAATTACTTGATAAAAAGGCTTTAATTTACTAAAGTTGTTAAAGAATAGTTCATTGTTAATAGTCATTTAAATTCTCCCAATCATATAAAAGTTCTTTTTTAATGACAAATTTAAGGCTACAAGTATATTTACTTTGGAGGTGGTGTGTGACAAGGCCAGTGTTTTATAACCTCAGTGTATTAAAATGTGAATTTGAACTAGAATTAAAATAATTACTATTCTTTCTGTTTACTCTTGACAGATGGTGTTGAAACTCTGGATTCTGGGTGGCTGACGTGTCAAACTGAAATAAGATTACGTTTGCATTATTCTGAAAAACCTCCAGTCTCAATAACCAAGAAAAAATTTAAAAAGTCTAGATTTAGGTATGACTATGTGCTTTTATTACTTAGGCCCCCCTCTTTTTAAAAAAAGAATGCTGTAGAGTTTGGATCCATTTTGTTTTAGCCTTTAAGAGAATAAAATAACACAGCTGTTGTCACATTTTCTAATAATCCTAGAGATCTGTGATAGTGAATTGCTTTTCCCCCATAGATCACTACTGTTACATATGTTTATGTTAGTATCTTTTTTTCCCCCCATTATGGTACTGGTGATTTAAACTAAGGGTGCTCTTCTACTGAACTATATCCCAAACCCTTTTTATATTTTATTTTGAGATGGTCTCACTAAGTTGCCCAGGCTGTCTGTGAACTTGAGATCCTCCTGCCTCAGCCTCCTAGATACTGGTTACGTGTGTGTGCTACCACAGACCTGTAATCCCATCACTGTATCAGTGTTGAATCTCAAAATTTTGAACCAGAAAAGTTAGTWTTTACAAAGATCAGTGGTTTCTAAGCTTGTATATTTTTGTAATTTCTATCATTTAATATTTCTTAGTGTAGTAATAATTTGTTTTAAAATGAACATAACAAATGGCATTTAACCACCAAGGCACATCCCCAGTCTCCCCTCCCCCACACTTTAAATTTTCTCTTTTCTTTGAGACAGGATCTCAGTAAGTTGCTGAGGCTAGCCTAAAACTCTGTCCTCTTGCCTCAGCCTCCTGAGTTGTTGCTGGGATAATGGGCGTGTGCTTATGCCTGGCTAGATTTTTTTTTAAAGTTGCTTCAGTTTTAGAGATAGAAATAAAGCTTTGTGTAAATGGTTAAATTGTAGCTTCTTTTTTTCTGTGATATTATTGTATATATCTATGAGTGAACTGGCTTAAGACGCAGGGAGCCCTACACTTGAATCTTTGTGACTTTGGGACTGAAATATGTACCATAGCTTGATTGTATAACACAGCTTTTTCTGAATAAGATGTCAGGAGTCGGTTGAAAGTAACTGAAGATGTTTATCTTTTTAGTAGCATTCATAATGATACTGGTGTCTGTAAGTCCTTAAATATTTTAACTGTCTAAATATTACAGCACTTTTATCCCGATCATAGACAAGGAAAAGTGTGGGTGGCACTTCACGGCCCTTTGTGTTGGCTGTTCTGATAGAGTATCGGGTTTGGGGTGTGTGTACCTTGTCCTCCACATGGTCAATCTACAAGATCCACTGGACCTCAAACTCTTTAATAGTTATCTATACATATTTTAGTATTTTGCTTACTTTTTATTTTAAAAGAAGCAAATTACAGCTGTAAACTGACTAACAGAATAAGACATGGAAATAACAATATAAGGAAAAACCTTGGTTAGTTAGCTAATTAGTACTTTTATTTTTTCCCTTGGATACAGTTAAGCAATTAATAGCTAGGCATGGTAGCACATGCCACTTATCTCAGTGATGGGGTTGGAGAGCTAAGGCAGGAGGAGGATTGCAAGTTTGAGGCCAGCCTCATCAATTTAATGAGACTTTGTCTCAATAAAAAGGACTTGGGATGTAGGTCAATGGTAAAGTGCCCTTGGCATCAGTCCCCGCAGGAAAAACTGTTTGGGATCTGATTTGGAATACAAATGAATACTGAGTCTTAAGGACATTCTTTGACTGTATATATTATTGAGTTGCTTAGGCTTAAATTAAAATGAAATGTACTTAGTTGGAGTCTACCTATTAAATGACTTAATTCTAGAAATTAGTGCTTGTTCCAATGATCTTTTTCCCCAAATTCATTTTAGTGCTAGACTAAGCCTTCATGGAGTAGGAAATAAAATTTATCTGTGAGGATTTCAGTATTTTAAAAACTTGGCAACAGCTTATATACTTTGTTTTATTTATTGTTTTGTGTCACAAGGGATTGAAACCAGGGGGACTCTACTACTACGGGGCACACTATTATTAAGCTATGTCCCCAGCCCTTTTTGTTTTCCTGTCTCAGCCACCTGTGTTACTGGGATTACATATGTGTGCCTCTATATCTGGCCAGCTTATGCATTTTTAGAATAAAATAGTGAGCATGCACTTTGTTATCAACAAGTTTTAAACAGTCCTTCCTCCCTCCCTCCCTCCCTCCCTCCCTCCCTCCCTCCCTCCCTCCCTCCCTCCCTCCCTCCCTCCCTCCCTCCCTCTCTCTTTCTTTCTCTCTCTTCCTCTCTTTTTTTCTTTCTCTCTCTCTCTCTCTCTCTCTCTCTCTCTCTCTCTCTCTCTCTCTCTCTCTCTCTCTCTCTCTCTCTCTCTCCCTCTCTCTCCCTCTCTCTCCCTCTCTCCTTCTCCCTCTCTCCCTGTCTCTCTCTCCCCCCCCTTCCTCTCCCTCCCTTTCCTTCCTCCCCCTCCAGGGGCAATCAACAACTGGGCCTTATTCCCAGTCCTTTTTAATTTTTTATTTTGAGACAGGGTCTCCCTAAATTGCTGAGGCTCTCTTTGAACTTGCATTAATCCTGCCTCAGCCTCCCAAGCTGCTGAGATTATAGACAGGCACCACTGTACTTGACCCCCACATTTCTTTTTGATTGATTATACTAGCAAATGGAAAGCAATGGAGATGTTTCTTTGTGGCAGAGTATAACATATATATAGCTATTTGACGAAAACATTTAATACAAATAAAATGAATTAAGTTTTATCATAGGTCCTGTCCCTTTAAGTTCGTTTATTTATTTTTCAAAAATGACTGTCTTGCCTACTAATTTCTTTCCATTTGTAGTTTTTTCATGTACCTCAGGGGAGAATGTTCCTTCAGGTGTATCAATAGAATCAATCTTCCAGAATCATTCCCAAGACAATTTGTTTTCTGAAAAGATGATGATTTTTGTGTTGAGTTATTGAAATACTACCTTAGATTTTATTGAGTGATTATAGACAGTATTATTAATGGAATAATCTATATGTCTGAAACCTCAGGAAAAACTTTTTAAGACAAAGCCTCAGCAGGGCTGGAGATGTAGCTTACTTGGTAGAATGCTTGCCTTGCATGCATAAGGCCCTGAGTTTAATCCCTAGCCCAGCAAAATACAAAGACAAAGCCTCAGCAGTGATTAGGAGGAGGGAGGTCAGGGTGGACCACTATTGTAATTATTTGCGTTCTATATTAAATCTTATTTTAAGTGTCAAATGAAAAATTGTTGTAGTTTACATATTACTCTATAATAACTTTGCATCCTATATTAACATTCAGATTGTTTAATCTATATGTGATTTAGTTGGTACAAGAAATATTCCAGAATTGAATTTACTTTTGGTATTACACATATTTTGTGTAATTGCTTTTTCATTGGGAGTAGATCAATCTTTGTGACCCCTAGGGYTGGATAAGTGGTATTTGTTTTCATTACTGTGAGCCCAGTGAGAGGACTTCTTGGATTATTTGTTTCCTTTATTAAAAAGGCATAGGCTGGGGTTGTGGCTCAGCGGTARAGCGCTTGCCTAGCATGTGCAAGGCCCTGGGTTTGATCCTCAGCACCACATAAAAATAAATAAGTAAAATAAAGATATTAAAAAAACTTATACCGTTCTATCCAAAGATAAAAAACAACCTTAGTGTAGGCATAATGGACACCTATCTCATTTTAATAATATCTTGTAGAAACATTTGTAGATAAAGCACATCTAATGCCTTAATCTATTTGTAGCCTTAATGTAATATCTTATTTTTGTTATTTGAGCATGTTGGAATAACACTTTTTTTTTTTTTTTTTTTTTTGGTGGTACTGGGGATTGGAACAAGGGACTTATGCATGTGAGGCAAGCAGTCTACCAACTGAGCTATATCCCTGACCAGCGAACACTTAGGTTTAAGTAACATTTCTATGAAGTTATATTCTATGCCACTTTTGCATTTCGTTATTCTTTCCTATTTTTCAGGGTAAAGCTTACACTAGAGGGTCCAGAGGAAGATGATGATGATAGGGTGTCTCCCACTCTTCTTCACAAAATGTCCAATACCTTGGAGATATCTTTAATAAGTGACAATGAGTTCAAGTGCAGGCATTCACAGCCAGAGTGTGGTTATGGCTTACAGCCTGATCGCTGGACAGAATATAGCATACAGACAATGGAACCAGATAACCTGGAATTAATCTTTGATTTTTTTGAGGTGAGTAGTTTTAGGGAAGGTGTTGAAAAAGAATGCAAGCATGAGCTTACTGATTTGTGTAAAGCCATGATTTATAAGAACTCTTCAGGTGTTGGCTCCTATATAATTTTAGCAGATTTAAAAAACTCAGAGGTGACAAATTTTAAGTACTATTAGGAAAATAATTAAGAAAACTACAGTAGAATTGATGTTTTTAATCAAGACTGGATTTGTTTTTGTCCATGTCTCTTAATCTAAATATAAGTGAAATATATCTAAAGGAGCTTTCAAAGATAAGTTGAGGGCCAGGAAGGCTGTGTGACCCTTGGCAGATAATCTGATGTAATTATCATTATTGAATCCTCTTCATGGTAAAAATCTGTCTTTCACTGAGGTGTTTTATTACGAGGATTTGTTGTGACAGTGGACTATGTAATTTTACTCAGTGTTATAAATGTGTAATAAATCTAGTTAGAAAGTTTGTGCTAGATTATGCAGAATCAGTGCTGCCAACTTTCCAAAGCTACTTGTGTTAACTTACACTAAAACTTGTAAGCTCACTAGCTGTTCAGATGCTCTCACAAATAATACCTGGTACCTCCCTAAGGTCCTTACTACAGTTTGATATGGTTTAGTGGTTAAGCACCCCTGGGTTCAATCCCCAGTACCCCTCTCTCCCACCCTTCCCAATAAAAACCTCTTAAACACCTAACTTTTCATTTGGTTGGCATTTTTAGAAACAACTGTTGTTTTTTTTTTTTCATAGATAAGGCTGATAAATACCAACTGTAAACAGGCACTTGGTCTCCTTGGGAGTTACTATCCCTAGAGGCCACCAAGTGGACATGTTTGTAGAGAATGTAATTTACATTATAATTCATTAGAAGTATATCTTGGTCTTTCATTGTAAAGTGTTTAGAGATTTTCAGACTGTGCTTTATATTCACCTAATACATATTAGATCAGAAGTGAAGAAAATATATCATTTAGAACAAAAAAAGCTATCTAAATTACCTGGATATAAGTTTGATTTTTTTTATTTCTTCCTTATCATAGACTATCAGTTGATTTTAAGAGAGTTCTTTAATCATGAATTTAAAACATTTAAGAATTCAGAGTATTCTGTCTGAATCTCATTTTTTCAGGAAGATCTCAGTGAACATGTAGTTCAGGGTGATGCCCTTCCTGGACATGTGGGCACAGCCTGTCTCTTATCATCCACCATTGCGGAGAGTGGGAAGAGTGCTGGAATTCTTACTCTTCCCATCATGAGCAGAAATTCCAGGAAAACAATAGGCAAAGTGAGAGGTAAGTTTAGAAAAATAGGCAAATCCTGACAAGTAAAGCTAAGGTTAAGTTAGAATTTTTCATTATTTCTAAATTGAGGATTTGAGAATAGTAATGATTAATAATTTACATTATTAACATAAGAATTTAGATTAATATAATAAGAAGTATGTTTATTAAATTTTCTACAACTTTGAATCAATTTTGACTTGATTATTTTCTATTTGATAGAGATTAATTAAACTGGTTTAAGTGCTTTTTTAATGTCATTGAGCTCATAATGAACTTTTTAACCATTTTTCTTTATCCCTCCCTCTTTCTTCCTATGGAAGTTGACTTTATCATTATTAAGCCATTACCAGGATACAACTGTGACATGAAATCTTCATTTTCTAAGTATTGGAAGCCGAGAATACCACTGGATGTTGGACACAGAGGTGCAGGGAACTCAACAACAACTGCCCAGTAGGTTGAATATTTGCATAGAATTGGCATTCAGTAGTTCATAAGGTTAGATTGGTTTGACCCACAAAAGGGTCAGATGATGCTTTTATTATCATCTGGGGAATTAAATGTAATTTCACAATCAGGATTACCAATTCAAAATAATTAAAGCCCAACTCTAATCTCCTAAGATTCTGATTAGTCTTTGATATTATACTGAATTGATGATGAGAAAGACATTAGAACCACAAAGCCCGGAAGTAAAGCTTGCTCTCGAGAATCTGTGTCTTTCTTGATTTGGGCACATTGCCAATTTTTTTTTTAAGAGTGAGAGAGGAGAGAGAGCGAGAAAGAATTTTTAATATTTATTTTTTAGTTCTCGGCGGACACAACATCTTTGTTGGTATGTGGTGCTGAGGATCAAACCCAGGCCGCACGCATGCCAGGCGAGCGTGCTACCGTTTGAGCCACATCCCCAGCCCAACACATTGCCATTCTTTAAAATGGAAGGGTTTGGATGTTCCCTAGTGTTCTGCTCCTAGTTAAGCATCCATGACTCCAAGAAAGTTTAAGTAAACTCAGGGTGTGTTTATTTGTTCAGCCAACAACTCATCAGAAAGATGCCTCATCTCTTCTCAACAGACAAATTTCAGCCTGGTACAGTTGGTTGTTCCTTCTAGCTTTGAGTTTTATTTATTTACAAGTACTCTAGCTTGTTGCCATTGGCTTTCTACTGGTAGTTTTAATTCCATTCCTTTTATTTTAAACTGCTGCTGCTGAGTGCTATGGCACATGCCTCTAATTCCAGCTACACAGGAGGCTGARGCAGGAGGAGCACAAGTTCAAAGCCAGTCTTAGTAAGACCCTGTCTCAAAAAATAAAAAGGGCTTTAGATGTGGCTCAGTGGTGAAACACCCCTGGACTCAATCCCTGGCACCCCAAATAAATAAAGTGATGATGTGATAGCTTTAGGACTTGGGTTCATTATTATGATTAAGTCTATAAAACAAATCAACTACCATTTAAGAAAGAAGCATACTTAGGCTCCATCAAAGTAAATTGTCTTCCCTTTTTTTCTTGTTCTTTAAATAAACTTTTCATACTTCTATCCTGTTGGTGTATCAGTGTTTCCCCCACAGTCTGGAGGTTTTATTTCAAAGAACAAGTTTCTACGTCTCTTTTTTCATGACATTGAAAACAATTGTTTTCCTTAATTGGTTACCTTAACTTGTTCCAAGGGGGGGAAAAAATCCTTATTATAGGAGAATATATGTTGTGGTGTAGCATGTGTCTATATTTCAGCTTATAAGTATCTGTAGTTGTTAGAGCTTTCATTTATGGAATAAATGTACACATTAGCCAAGTGTGGTTACAGTCCTTTTTTTTCCATAGTCATATTTTGGGGATAGCAAAATTAGCTTCAAAATAGAATAAATACTATTTCCATTGTTAAAAATACAGTTGAGGGCTGGGGATATGCTCAGTTGGTAGAGTGCTTGCCTTGCATGCACAAGACCCTGGGTTCAATCCCCAGCACCACAAAAAGACAAATAAAATATAGTTGACTTTTTTACATTTGTTTCTTTTTTTGTAGTTTGTGATAGCATGTTTCTTCTCTATTTCAGGCTGGCTAAAGTTCAAGAAAATACTATTGCTTCTTTAAGAAATGCTGCTAGTCATGTAAGTAACCTTTATTTCTTTAAATACTTTGGGCTATTCATTTAGAAAAATGTGGCTCAGGGTGATCTCCTCCAGTCTATATTAGTATGTTAAAGAGGAATATTTATGCTTGTTTTGAACATGTTTTTAAGTGAAGACTATGTCTTGGCATTATATTTCAATCCGTGGTAAAGTTTGGGATGAGAACAATAAGATCATAAGCATCTTTTTTTCATCTAACATATTTTGAGTTGTTTTCTTTAAAAAAAATTTCCACTAAGCATTGATATTTACTATCTGAATGATGTATTTATTCAGGTATTAACTTTTTTTTAAAGGTCAAAACCAGATTGGAATATTTAATTACTGAACAGTGTATGTGCAGCTGGTGCTATGTATATAATAATACAAGGGGCAACTGCTTTCAGGTGGCCACTGTATATACTAAGATTATAAATAGATGCGGGGTGAGTTCGAACCTACTGGCACAAGACCTTTTTTCTGAGATCTCAGTGGTTGTTCTGTTCCCTCCTCTACACTCCTCTCTGGGGCCTGGGATCAAAGCAGCTGACCAGCAATATGGCATGAGGAATTGGACAGGGCAGCTGTGACTTATGCCCTAAGAATGTGGTACACAGATTGTGTGCACCCCTGCAGGCTCTGTAAAGCTCATTCATCATGGTTCCTTGTATTCCCCTTTTTTTKGGGGGGGGGGCGGTACTGAGGATTCAACTCAGGGGCACTTAACCATTGAGCCACATTCCTAGCCCTGTTTTATATTTTATCTAGACACAAGATATTTCTGAGTTGCTTTAGGGACTTGGAATCAATCTTCCTGCCTCAGCTTCCTAAGACACTGTGATTACAGGCATGTCCTATTGCACCCAGCTGGTATTTACTTTTTACCAGGTTATGTTACATTTCTTAACTCCTTTCCCAGTCTGATTTTTAGCACCTGCAGTTTGACATTTTTTAGTTGAGAACCTGGGGTTTCCTCCTTCACCCCTTCCTCTGTGCCTGACCAGAATGTCTCAGGTTCTGAAGTTAAACTAGGGGGAAATGGAGGAAGATCTTATTTTTGTATTTTCACTTGTTTCAGTGTCCTCCAGATCAATTAAACTTTGCCTTCTTAAAAATTGTTCAGCAAGTAATTGGGTGTTTATCACTTTTGTGAACCAACATATTTTCTGACAGACCTTTTCATATCTTAACCTCTCTGAAATTGGAATAGGTTTTACGGTTTATCTTTGAGTCATGGTTTAACTGGAAGCATCCTCACCAGTACTATAATAATGATACATTTTATAATTCATGGCATCCTAAATTAATTATAGTAGTTGTTTGATATTTAAAATTTTAGTAGTTTTATTTTTGTGTTAAAGATTATACTAATTGCTAGGTGTGGTAAGACATGCCTGTAATCTTAGCAGTTCAATCCCAGTACCAAAATAAATAAATAAGTAAATACAGCCCTTATTTATGTATATTGTGGTATATAGTTCATAATTTGGAACCAGTTTTATTTAACTGTAGCCAGCTAGTCTAAGTATCATTTAACTAACTAATGGTAAAAACATGATTGACTGCCGTTTCAAGAATTTTCAGGGTCTCCATGCTTTTTTGGAAGGAGGATTTCATTTACCCTTCTATATTCTGACAAAATCCYTTATAACTCACATGGGTCACATTTGGTAATGTCTTATTTTAATTATTAATTGCTTATTAACTTGCTTTAATATTAAAAAACATAATTTTGAAGATGTTTTAATCTGTTATTATTTCTTAAAGCTCACGTGAATTTTGGGATTAGATTTTATCTCTTAGTAAAATTTTCCCAGAAGGATGATATGTACAGCTATGTACGATTAAACATTTAAACTAGAGGGCTGGGGATGTGGCTCAAGCGGTAGCACGCTCGCCTGGCATGCGTGCGGCCAGGGTTCGATCCTCAGCACCACGTACAAACAAAGATGTTGGGTCCGCCGAGAACTAAAAAATAAATATTAAAATTCTCTCTATTAAAAAAAAAACATTTAAACTAGAAAGATGTACATTAAAGTGTTAAGTAGGTGTTACTATTTATGGTGGTAGAGTTGTTCTGTTTGGTAGAAATGGTTTGTGTTTTAATAAGAAGTAGCTACATTTTCTGCTTTAGACATCAACAAGGAAGTAGACTTCATAGCCAAATTCTTGAGCTCCTTTGGTTGTAATCATATGTGCTGAGAAGATAGGTACCATTTCATGACTTAGACGCACTGTAGGAATGGAAATGTATCTAGCCATTCTCAACACTTCTGTTGATCACAAGTCAGTAACATACAGAATTCTCAAATCTTGCTTCCTTTGATCCCAACTTTTGGTGAATGTACACATTTACATGTCAGTTTATGTTCTCAGTCTTTATCTGCATTAATTCAGGGGATAGAATGGATTTTTTTTGGTAATTGGACTCACCATATTGCCCAGGTGAGTCTCACTGTCTTTCTGCCTCAGCCTCCAGAATAGCTGGGATCACAGGTGCTCACCAAGGCCAGCAAATCTGACTTTTAAAAATATATTCTTAATGCTAATTCATGTCTTCCTCCCAATTTGTTTAGGTCTCCATCCAGGCATTTGGCATGTGCATCATTTTTGTTGCCTGATTTGTTTTATCTGTTCAGGAATAGTTGTAGCTTCTTTAATACACTATTGACATTCTCTAAGAAAGCGAACTAGGAAGCAGAGCAAAGGGTCTCTGGGTTACTCTTTACTCATATCATCTCTGAGGTCTAGCTAATGCTAAAGTATGCAGTGGCAGCAAGGAGGGGAAACCCTGTATTCTAGGTTCCTATTTTATTCCATTTCTGCTAATTGCAGTAGCAGAGGTGATACCCATGAATGCTGTCATTGTTAACTGACATGCCCTTGGGTGTTTATCAGTGGATTCATGTCCACCCCTCTTTTTGGCCAGGTAAAAGTTGTGCTTTTACAAAGGAGGGGGCCAGGTAATAAACTGCTTAATATGTAGTATTAAATAATTAGTGTGGTGTTTTTGTGTACCGATCTATTAATTTTACAGTAAACATTAAGCTTCTTTTTTTATTGGTTGTTCAAAACATTACAAAGCTCATGATATATCATCTTTCATACATTTGACTCAATTGGGTTATGAACTCCCATTTTTACCCCAAATACAAATTGCAGAATCACATTGGTTACACACTCACGTTTTTACATAATGGCATATTAGTGACTGTTGTATTCTGCTACCTTTCCTATCCTCTACTATCCCCCCTCCCCTCCCATCTTCCCTCTCTACCTCATCTGCTGTTGTTCAATTCTCTCCCTTGTTCCCTCCCCATTTCCCCTCACAACCTCTTATATGTAATTTTGTGTAACATTGAGGGTCTCCTACCATTTCCATATGCTTTCCCTTCTCTCTCCCTTTCTCTCCCCCCACTCGTCTCTGTTTAATGTTAATCTTTTCCTCATGCTCTTCCTCCGTGTTCTGTTCTTAGTTGCTCTCTTTATATCAAAGAAGACATTTGGCATTTGTTTTTTAAGGATTGGCTAGCTTCGCTTAGCATAATCTGTTCTAATGCCATCCATTTCCCTGCAAATTCTATGATTTTGTCTTTTTTTAGTGCCGTGTAATGCTCCATTGTGTATAGATGCCACATTTTTTAATCCATTCATCCATTGAAGGGCATCTAGGTTGGTTCCACAGTCTAGCTATTGTGAATTGTGCCGCTACCATCATTGATGTGGCAGTATCCCTATAGTACGCTCTTTTAAGATCCTCAGGGAATAGTCCGAGAATGGCGATAGCTGGGTCACATGGTGGATCCATTCCCAGCTTACCCAGGAATCTCCATACTGCTTTCTAAATTGGCCTCACCAATTTGCACTCCCACCAGCAGTGTACAAGTGTACCCTTTTCCCCACATCCTCGCCAACACTTATTGTTGTTTGACTTCATAATGGCTGCCAATCTTACTGGAGTGAGATGGTATCTTAGGGTGGTTTTGATAACATTAAGCTTCTTAATGTTCTTGTACTTTTAGATGTTTCCCACGCCAGATAATGTTTTTCTAATACTTGGCTTCCTCCTGTCAGGGTGCAGCCTTTGTAGAATTTGATGTTCACCTTTCAAAAGACTTTGTGCCTGTGGTATATCATGATCTCACTTGTTGTTTGACCATGAAGAAGGTATGTGGAAATTCCTTTATTTTAAACTCATTGTTAGCTAAAAGGTGTGAAACGAGGACCTTTGTTATATTTTTAGTTATTTATTAACTGGAGTCAACTCAATTCATTTCTTGGTGAATTATTGCCAGTATTTTCCTGTCTCTAGCTCTGGCAACTTTAAGATAGTGAAGAGATGGGTACTGATTTCCTCAAGTAGAATCTCTGTTTTGTTCAATTTATATTTTTATTCCAGGTGGTATATGTACCAGTGTTTATTTTCTAAGCCCCCATCTGTTTTTGCTTTATACTCTTTCTCAAATTTATAGGATAGTTTGGTATAAAATGAGGAATCACAGTAAAAAATTGAAGGTCCCATTGAAGAAGGAATGGACTTAAGAGCCAGGGAAATATGAAAGACTTTCTAGCTGAGAAGGAAATGTCAAGAACTAAAATTCAGGGTTAATCTTTTAGTAAATTTCAGAAAAAAACAGACTGGAGACAAGGGAAGTAGTAATATGGACCATTGGTACAGTAGGGAAAGGGAGAATGGAGAAGAGCGCATATATTATGGAGAGCAGAATTCAGAATGAGATTTTGAAATCCATATAATTTTAAAAGTTTGTCATTGTACAAACAAAATTGTCATTGTTTTTTCATCCCTGAGCTTCAGTATATACAAATTAACTAAAGTGATTTCTCAGGAACTTAACCTAGGAAGGTTCATTTTGCATTTTCAATTATATTGGTTCTCAGTTGGGTGTGGTGGCTCAAGCCTGTAATCCCAGAGGCTTGGGAGGCTGAGGCAAGAAAGAGGATTGCAAGTTCAAAGCCAGCTTCAGCAACTTACTGAGGCCCCAAGCAACTCAGACCCTCTTTCAAAATAAGAAATTTTAAAAAGGTTGGAAATGTGACTGAGTGGGTAAGCACCCCCTAGGTTCATTCCCTGGCTCCTCCCACCTCCAATTATATTGGTTCTCATTTTCAGTTTATTTGGTTTAAAATTAAGGCCAGTTTATGTAGAACACTGTACCAGATATGTTGTATAAAAGACAACGCACCTGGGTCTGCCTGCTAGTGGATTTAAGAGTTCTTGGGGATTGGGTTGCTATGATAGCTAAAAAAAGATACTTCTGTTTTTGTTAAGTGTTATCAGGAGAGGGAGGGAAGGAAGGAGATACATGTATTCAGATGAAGAAAGAACTAGAATAATTAAAAAGAAATGGAGCAAGTAGCTTTTGCTGTGGGAGAACACCATCTCTAAAAATTAGTGAAGAGTATTAAAAATTTAGTGAAGAGTATTACTGATCTCCAGTTTTCACCAGACTGTCTTGCTTTGACGTTGAAGCTGAATGAGTTAATTGGGGAATGAAAGTAGTGAGTGTGTATTATTATTTGTCTATTTAAAAATGCAAGTAGTTCAGATTTAATGAAATGAAAAAAATAAATCTTCCTTTCCCCTTTTCCTTGATCTCATTCCCTTATTCTTAATAGTTTCTTGTGTATCCTTCCAGAAAAACTTTAGGCATACACAGGTTCGTACCAGTGTACATGMATAAATATATATGTACTTAATGACTTCTAGTGTGTTTGTTGAATTGATGATTTATTTATTGGAGGTACTCAACTCATTTCCTAAAGATAATGGTACCTCTAACAATGTGTTGTTTGCTATGGCATTAAAATCTAGAAGAGTATATTTGCTTGTGGGGGAATCATGATAGATCTGAGTTCTTATTAAATAGTATTGCTTATAAAGCTAATTGCACAGTTTTGTTATGGCAATTTCTTTGCGTGGCTGCTATTTTTATCTAGACTTACATTTGAAAAGTTTTAGAAACTTAGAAACAGAAATTTGCATGTTGATTTCCTAGGCATGTAGCATGGATTATATGTCAAATACAAAGTATATAGCATGATAGAAAGCAGGGGAAAGGATGACTGACAGACAGTTCCTTGTGTCTTCAGTGCCACAACTTACTCCCCACAGGCTTTTCTGTCCTGGCATTCTCTGCCTGCTTTGGGGAAAAAAAAAAAAAAAGCCAGGGACTTGGGTAGGCTCATTTGTAGAGCATTTGCTTAGCATGTGCAAGAACTTGGGTTTGATCCCTAGCACCGCCTAAAAAAAACAAGAGTATAAAACTGGGAGGTAATGTTAGGTAAAAATGATTTTTCTGCATGGGGCTTTCTAATAGTTACTCTTATTATTCAGTTAATTGAAATTATAGGCATATCCAGAGGAAACATTCAGTAATAATGAAACAGGCCCATTTCTCTTTTTTCTTTTTTTGTATTTTTTAGAAGTTTGATGCTGATCCAGTTGAATTGTTTGAAATTCCAGTAAAGGAACTAACATTTGACCAACTCCAGTTGTTAAAGGTAGTAACAGTAGCATAAATGTAAATTACCATTTCATAAGTTCTACTTAACTGATAAATGGCTATGTTTTTCCTGCACACAAGATTGACTAGTTAATATACATAATGTGTGCTTTACTTTTCTGCTCTGATTTGGAAGATGCTGATTCATCCATTTTCTCTAACAGTTTTTGTGGATGTCATTGATTTTTGTGTTTTTGAAAGAACTAGGCCATAAGTCTTTGTAGGCCTTAGGGGGGGGTTAGCCTTTCACATTCATAATCTTAAATTGCTTTTGTTCTGCAGTAGCCCTTTTCTTTATGGCTGTCTCTGTTTTATAGTTGGCCTTTTATTTGATAGTAGGTTTTGTACAAATGTTGATTAGGATCTTTGTATTTTTGGTTGTACCATGTAGTTTTACATGATTCTTTTTTCCATTCTCATTAGATACATAAATAGTTAAGTATGAGCAGTTTCTGGACTCAGGAATTTTTATATTCTTCTTCCCTACCTGGGCATTTGATCATGGCCTTAGGTTTATGATCAAATGACCTTAGGTATATAAATGACCATGACCTTAGGTATATAAAATAATTTATTCTTAATAAATTTGTAATTCTACATTTTATGTTATTTTCAAAATTCCTGAGTTTTCAAGTTAATAGAACTATAACCATGTCTTCATAAACCAGGATTTGTTTTTCTCATTGCATGTTGTGTGTTTGTGTCTTCTAGCTTGCCCATGTGACTGCATTAAAATCTAAAGATCGACAAGGTACGCACCAATATGGAAACCTGTTCATGGTCATTTTAATGAATATAATACTGGGCCATCTGAATGTATTTTTATAGATTTGATGGCTGTACATGTGTTAATTTTTAACTGAAATATGTCATTTGTAATAACCATTCTGTTATTTTTCTTAGCAAAGCCATCAGAATTCTTCGCAATTTTTGTACCTATAAATCTTTCCAAATGTTCTAATCATTATGGTTAGAGTATTATCAAGTATAGAATTTGGCTACAGAGCCAGAGTTTGAAACCACCTCTCTCAAATATCAGCTATGACCTTGGGCAGGTTACTTCAGCACTCTGCCTCCATTTCCTCAAAGCTTGTTGTTGCCTGCCATATCTCTTTGTAATTACACTTTGCTTTCTACTCACCTAGGGTTTAATAGGTTTCCATTCATTTGAGGCTTATTGTATCCTTTTTGAATCCTTTGTGTTTATGTTCTTGCTCTTTAATTAAGCCTCTCACGTGTAGAAAAATGGTTTCATATTTCTAGAGATCTACTTTCACAGTGTTCTACATTTGATAGGCACTTTAGTAGTTTGTCTGCAGTTGTGTTATTAACACAATATGGATGCCTTTATGAACAAACTGTGAGGTGCTTAAGACTTAAAAGACTATCTCTGAAGCATAATTATAAATGCCTAGTGTTACAGATATTTAATGACTATAAAACTAATTTTGCCTTTAATTTATTCAACTGGAAAAATTTGCATTATTTTAGTTTTAGTTTTATTTTTAGTTTTTTGAAATATACATAAATTGGGATTTGTGTTTGTTTTAAGAAAGGTTTGATATTTTAAATTTTTTCTCAGTAAAATTGTCTTCTAGATCTCTTAAGATGATTTATTGGTTTATCTATTCATTATTTTATCTAATTTCTGAGCTGATTTTGATATTTTAAATAGAAGTCTTAGCAAAATAACATAACTCAATTCCATTGATAAATGACTGATTATTGCTTTTGACTACTTTCAGAAGAGTAGTATTATGATCAGGCACTGTGATGCACACTTGTAATCCTAGCAATTTGGGAAGCTGAGGCAGGAAGATAGCAAGTTGAAGTCCAGCCTGGCAACTTGGGGAGATGCTATCTCAAAAAGGGTTGGGCATAACAGCGCAGTGATAAGAGTACCCTTAGGTTCAATCCCCAATGTTTAAAAAAACAATCACTCTTGAGACCAGACTATGGTGTTTATACTACATGTTGCAAACTAGTCTTTATGAGGGATGCTTGTTTAGAATATGCAGTTTTCAATGTTGAAAATAATCCAGGAGACTTCAGACGTTTCAGACATTAAAGGACCTTACGATACTTTCAGCATATGTTCATTCTACTTTTTTAGAGTTTAAAAAATCTTAGTGATACAATGGCATTTTATTTACTAAATTTTTGTTATTTAAAATTTCAGAATCTGTGATTGAGGAAGAAAATTCCTTTTCTGAAAATCAACCATTTCCTTCTCTTAAGATGGTAAGTTTCTGAGGAAAACTAGGACAAGTCTATCTCATTAATCTTATTGCCTGAACAATTTATTTTGTTCTTCTAAATGGGTACTAAAAAGATGGTGTGAATAATGTGATTAATGCAAATCTGTTATCATTGCTTCTAGAAGGTGTACTTTTGTGTGATATACTTGTGCTGCTTTTTTATTTTAAGAGTAACTTATCTCAAATTTCCTCAATGGCTTAATTTGGTAAGAAGAGCATATGTACATATTTCTGTATATAGAAGAAGGAGAAGGCAAAAAAGGGGCTGGAAGAGGGTGAGATGTTTAAAAAAGTGATTGTTTTCAAACAATAGTTTTTATGGAAAGAAATAAGATTCTGTACTAGAGAAAATGAGTACCCTCATTATTTAAAAAAATTCACTGAGAAAGAAATTAGGATGAAAAATTTTAAAAACCAGGCAATTAATACAGGAATTCTTTTGAAAGAATCAGGAAAGCCCACATAGGTGCAAAAGAGATGATGGGTCTCCCTTGGTTTCTACTGTGCCTCTTAATACCTGCTCTTATGTGTGTTTTTTGTTGTTTTGTTTTTTTGATACCAGGGATTGAACCCAGGGGCACTTAACCACTGAGTCACATTTCCAGCCCCACCCCCACCCCCTTTATTTTTGTATTTAGAGAAAGGGTCTCCTGTGTTTTAGGTCCTTGCTAAATTGCTGAGGCTGGCTTTATACACACAATCCCCTTATATCATCTTCCTGAGATGATGGGATTATAGGTGTGTGCCATCTTGCCTGGCTTGTCTGTTTTTTTGTTTTGTTTTTCCTGGTAATGTCAGGTGTGGTAGATTTCTTAAACAAAAATAGGTGAATACAGAGTATTATGATGTGAAAAATGTATGTTTTAGGCATGGGGGCTTATTAGTGGAGTTTTTTTTTTCAGTTTACGATGATTCTTTATTTTCATATTCTCTTCTTTTTCCCCCGCATTTTTTATTGGTGCGTTATAGTTGTACATGCTAAATGGATTTGTGGTTATATATTTGTACATGCATAACAATATATATATAACAATATGTAAATATATAACACTATAATTTAGCCAGTATCCCTTCCTAGCACTTTTCCCTTCCCTCCCGCCTCCATGCCTTTTGGACCCTTTCTCTACTGATCTCCCTTTTGATTTTTAGGACATACAATCCCACCTTTTTTTGTTTGTTTGTTTTTCTTTTTTCTCTCTAGCTTCCACATATGAGAAAAAGACACATGACCCATAACCATCTGAGTTTGACTTACTCTGCTTAACATGATGGACTCTAGTTTCATCCCATTTTCTGCGAATGCCATAATTTCATTTTTCTTTATGGATGAATAAAACTCCATTATAGTGTTAGTGGGGTATTTATCTAGTATGTTATCTGGTTGCTAAAATATGAAGATAAATAATTTAGAAAAGGAGTGACAGTAAGGACCTTGTAATGAGGTATTTTGCTAAAACACTTAGGTATGTATTACCTGAGAAGACATTCATAAAACAATCTAAATAATTAAAGTAGTCAAAGTATTGATTGGCCAGCTATGGTGGCGAACACCTATAATCCCAGCAGCTCTGGAGGCTGAGGCAATGGCATCTCAAGTTCAAAGCCAGCCTCATCAATATCAAGGCTCTAGGCAATTCAGTGAGATCTTGTCTCTAATAAAAAATACGAAAATAGGGTCTGAGGATATGGGTTAGTGGTTGAGTACCCATCTCTGGTACCCCCCCCCAAAAGAAGTATTATTCATTCTGCAAAAATGTTGTCACAAAAGAACCCATAAGTCATTTGGTTCTCAGAAATCTCATGATTCCCAACCTTTTGAATTACTGAATAGAAAGAAAAGCAAATTTTTAAAAATTATATGTTATACATGACAATAGAATGTATTTTGACATCTTACATACATGGAGTTTAATTTCTCACTTTTGTGGTTGTACAGTGTGTGGAGTTACACATCATAGGAATATAGGAGAGTTTATCCAGTTCATTCTACTGTCTTTCCCATTTTTATCTTCCCTCTCCTCTCCCCACTCCTCTATCAAATTCACTCCACTGCCTCACCCCATGCCCACTTGTGAGTCAGCATCTGCATATCAGAGAGAACATGTGGCCTTGGGTTCTGGGAATTGGTTTATTTCACCTAACACGATAGTCTCTAGCTCCATCCATTCCTCTTTATGGCTGGGTAGTATTCCATTGTGTATGTGTACCCTATAGAAATAGACAAATTTTAATTGTGTATTGAATGTTTGACAACATTTATTTAGCCTAATAAGTGACACTCAGATGCATCTAACACACTTAATTTGCCATTATCATTATGTAATCACAAAGAAATTTTAACAAACTATCAAATATAATTTTAGTATAAGGACAATCTTTTTGCAAATTTTATGCTTTATAGTCTTAACACTATAACACACTTTCTCCTTATCCACACTATAACACACTTTCTCCTTATCCACTGAGCCTCATCTGTAGCACTGTTTTGTATTTTATTTAGTGACAGAGCATCAATGAGTTGCTTATTTATGCCTTCCTTTTGCTTAAGCTGTAATTGAAGATCCTCCTGCCTCAGCCTGCCCACCCCTGTTCCCAGCCACTGGGATTACAGGAATATGCCACCACACCTGGGTAGGCAGTGGTTTTTTTTTTGTGGTGCTGGGGATTGAACATAGGGCCTTGTGCATGCAAGGCAAGCATTCTACCAACTGAGCTATATATCCCCTGCCCCAGCTGTGCTCTTTACACTAACTTTTTTTGTTGGTGTGCTTTTATTTGCTTTTATAAAATTAAATATCATATTTTATACATGTTAATGACACTCTGAAGTTTTGAATCTGTTAAAGTAAAAACAATGTATTTTGATTCATTTTGCCCTAAGCATATTTGTGTGTTGCCCTATCATTTGTTTTTAAGACTAAATAATTCAGATTTTTTAAAATTTTTGTTGTTGATGGACCTTTATTTTATTTATTTGTATGTGGTGCTGAGAATCGAATCCAGTGCCTCACGCATGCTAGACAGGCACTCTACCACTGAGCCACAACCCCAGTCCCAGATGTTTTTTAATAAATAGAATAACTATTTGTTCATTTATATAGTYTTTTGCTTTATGAGTTTTAGTATATTGTTTCATTTGGAGATAATTTTTTGGGGGGTTATCAGCATGTTTTTTTTAAAAGTATTATCGCTTCCAAAAAAAGCTAAAAATCATTGGTTTTCATGTAATCATACCTTAGTATATCAATATACCTGAATATAATTTAGAATACATAAGATGTCTTCCTGAATTCTTGATGTTGTCTATAACTCACATGGAATGTTCTAAAAGGAATGGTGAAAAGGATTTTAGGTTGGGCTGGTGTTGTGGCTGGGTTCGATCCTCAGCACCACATAAAAATAAATAAATAAAGATATTGTGTCCAACTAAAAAATAAATATTTWAAAAAAAAAAGGATTTTAGGTTAAGGATCTATCTTTCTGGTGRTAGTTATAAGTTATTACACTTATTGCTTGAAATTGCTCCTTTTGCTGTTTTAATTTGTCTTATTTAATATAGTGGTCACTAACCATTTTGTCAGTTTAATGAGAACACAGTGGTTTTTACTGAAGACATAAAACACTTTATCCTTACTAGTAAAGTATTCTTATTGATTGCTTCTTATAATAATTCTTTTATTTTTTTGTTTTTATTCTACCATCTGTTTCACCAAAAACAAAACTCCAGGTTTTAGAGTCTTTGCCAGAAGATGTAGGGTTTAACATAGAAATTAAATGGATCTGCCAACAAAGGGTAAGTAATTCTCTATGCAATCCCTGTCCCCCCTTTTCCATTTTTAAAGTTCTTTGGTTTCTGTGTTTTTGTTTTAATGCAATTAAGTTAAACTGAAATTTTTCAACTTTATCCATCAAAGTACAGTACTTGTTAGATCTTTTTACAAAAGCCTATGTTACACTTAGCTAATATGTGAGTACTTTTTAAATTAATGATGCATTTATAATAGAAGTCTTGATTTACATACACCTGGTTTGTACATTAATGAATGGGTTCTAGACAGATTTATAAAGTAGACAATATCTCTGATTTAGTTAATACGTTCTAATTCTTCATCTAAATAATTTTAAATAATTTTCTGAGCAGTTTTCTGTTGAGGAGCAGTAGTTAGTAATAATTACCAGGAAAAGAAATTTCTTCAGCTATGCTTTAAATTGTTTCCAAATGTAATCATTTCTTTTTTTCAGTAAATATTTAATAGAAAGCTGCTACAGTCTAGGCATTTTCTGAATACAGTGGATAATCAGTGAACTTTAAGGTTCTGTATTCTTGGAACGTGTGTTCTAGTTGAAGAAAACATGAGAATCATGGTGAGAGAGCTAGATTGAGGACAGGTATTGAAAGTAGTTTATTCAGGTATCATAATTGGTCAGTTGGACTGATTGATGTCCTGTATTTTGTTTTGGTCAGAATATTCTGTGACTCTTCAAAYCATGTCTGTCTGTCTGTCTGTTTGTTTATTTATGGTACCAGGGATTGAACCCAGGAGCACTTAACCACCACCAAGCCACATCCCCGTTCCTTTTTTATGTTTTATTAGAGACAGATCTCAATGAGTTGCTTGGCCCTCACTAAGTTGCTGAGGCTGGCTTTGAACTCCTCCTGTCTCAGCTTCCCCAGTCACTGGGATTATAGGCATGCACCACTGTGCCTAGCTAATCATGGCTGTTAATACAGGCTACGATGGTCCTGGTTCACATAGTAAATGCTGGTCTTGCATTCATCTGTGAATTCTATTGACTTTCCTATTCCAGTCTCCCTTCTTCCCACTCCACCCTGTTCAACCCAGTGAACCTCCCCTTGCCCTGCCCCTGCCCCTGAATTATTTAACTATTTTTAAAGGATAGTTGATAATGTCTGAGACCCAATGAAGAAGAATCACAAATGTTATTTTTTAAAATAAAGGATTGTTTATAATGTATAAGGTTATTTTGATGTTTGTTGTTTTTGGTAAAATTAATAGGTTCTCATTTAGCAAATGAAACAGTTTTTATGAAGATTATATAAATTTTAAATCAGTAGATTATAATTTTTTAGAATTTTATCTTTTAATATTAAAGTGAAGCCTATTAATGATAGTGACTTTTTATATGAGTGTCTATACCTGAATTATGATTTCTTTGCCATCACTGAATAACTGTAGTCTTAGACAGGTTACTTTATCTTTTCAGGTCTTTGACTTCCTCATCTGTGAAATCAGGGTTGGTTAAAAGCATTAAGAGATAACACTCCATACCTATTAGGGYGGTGTTATCAAAAAGTCAAAAGATAAATATTGGTGAGATCATGCTTAGAAGAGAACTCTTATATACTGTTGGTGGAAGTGTAGACTAGTGCAGCCATATTGGGGTTTCTAAAGAAATTAGAAACAGAAGTACCATATGATCCAGCAGTCCCTTTTCTGGGCACAAATTCAAAGGAAATTAAATCATTACCTTAGAGATACCTTTATTCATTATAGTATTATTTATTCATTATAGTATTATTCATGGTAGCCAAGGTATAGAAACAACCTAAGTGCCCTTTGATGGACAATTGGATAATGGTCCATTTATAAGTTGGAATATTTATTATTCAGCCCTAGAAAAGAATGAGCTCTTCACATTTGCCACAAAATAGTTGAGCCTGGAGGACATTATATATTAAATGAAACAAGCCAGACACACAAAAATATTGTATGATCTTATTTATGTGTGGGATCTGAAAACAACTTAAAATTCACATACATGAAGAGAAAAAACAGTGGTTACAGGGTTGGGGAGAGGAGGAGGAGGAGGCAATGGGGAGATCAAAGTCAAAGGATAAAAATAACAAGTCTAGAGTGYTCATGCACAACATGAGGGCTATATGTAATGATACTGTATGTATGCAAAATAAGTAGATTTGGGCTGCTCTTGCCACAAAAGGGAAGAGTATAGGGTGTATCTCGGTGGTAGGCTGGTAGGTAGCATGTGTATTCAAGGCCCTTGGTTTAATCCCTAACTCCAAAAATAGAGGAAGAGGGGCAACTGTGTGAGATGATTGATATGATAACTTATTTCAATTTAGTAATCTTTGTACTGTCTTCATGTATTCCATAATATTCTGTGGTATGCTTTAAATGAACATAATAAAGTGTATTAAGAAATTTTTGAAAAGTATGAATTAGATGCTGTCTTTTTTTTTTTTTTTTGCATTCTGATTCTAAGGTGTGCTATGGCTTTTTTCCCCCCCTACATAGGATGGAATGTGGGATGGTAACTTATCAACATATTTTGACATGAATATGTTTTTGGATATAATTTTAAAAACTGTTTTAGAAAACTCTGGAAAGAGGAGAATAGTCTTTTCTTCATTTGATGCAGATATTTGTACAATGTAAGTAATATTCTTCTGTCCTCTTAGATTGTAGTTAGCACTCAGTACAGATGGTGGTTGGAGGTTAGGAAGTTGTTCGGCTTTCCCTTGATTTGGCCTCATTCAAGTTCCCTGTGTTTTCATGATGGCTTTCTGATGGTTTCCTGTGAAATCCTAGAGCCTCACACCCTGTGGGCTTCATGTACTTGTGTGTCATGCCCTTCTTAACTTACGTAAACCTTCCTGGGCTTTCTCGTTGCTCATGCCTGAGAGTATTTTATATTTTTCTTGAGTTAATGGTGGTTATATATCTGAGTAGTTCGACTGTTTTTATTTTGTTTCAATTTCTTCATGTTTTTAATAATTTCTAAAATTTCAAATCAATATTATAGTTATCGCCTCACAGAAAGTATTGTTTTGTCCTTTTTAGGGTTCGGCAGAAGCAGAACAAATATCCCATATTATTTTTGACTCAAGGAAAATCTGACATTTACCCAGAACTTATGGATCTCAGATCTCGGACAACCCCCATCGCAATGAGCTTTGCACAGTTTGAAAATCTTCTGGTAAGTTGTTTGAACTTCCACTGTTTTGCTTCTATTGTTTTGTATCTTACAGTGGTAGTAAGTAAATAAGGTTTCATGTTTATCTACCTAATGGTTAAAGATTTGACTGTGTCATAAGCAAGTAGCTCTATTTAGAATTGAGAATAGCCATACACTCAACATGTATGTTTACAAATCACTTACATATATTAGCACTCTGTTTTAACTGCATTATATATTGAAAAGAATAAGGGAAATTAGAAGAAAAAAAAATCTAACATTTTCTTTCCTTGCCTCTTCACTCTAGAAAGCATTGACCCATATATTCTATAAGTATTTAACATTTATAGTAAACATATTACTTTTTCATGAACAACTAACTTTTCTTCTTTTAGGGGATTAACGCACATACTGAAGACCTGCTCAGAAATCCGTCCTATATCCAAGAGGCAAAAGCTAAGGGACTAGTCATATTCTGCTGGGGTGATGATACCAATGACCCTGAAAACAGAAGGAAATTGAAGGAATTTGGAGTTCATGGTCTAATTTATGATAGGTATTTGGTTTTCATAAAAAATTTCCATGAAATGTTAGGAAAAGTGTAGCTTTCATCTTATAAAATTATAAAATAAAATTAAACTTAGTTAAGTTAAAATTCTGTAGTTTGGCCTGAGGTTTATCTTGACATTTGTCTGTCAGTGAGTTTTTTCAAACTTTGAAGTGTATCAGTCAGTTGAGAAGCTTGCTAAAAATGCAAATGAGTAGGTCCTAACCCAGATGTACTAAATCATTTTAGGGAGTAATGGTTACTGTCTGCCTCCTGTTTTCTGTCTATACAGCTTTCTCAGTGGTCTCGTCATACTCTGTGTCTTTTCATATCGTCATATGTTTCTAACATTGTATGTGTCCAACTCAGACCGTTTTCCTGATCTCTAAACATTTATGTCCAGGAACCAATACCTATTCCTCCTTTCATCTTCCTGATTTCAACATAAATGTTGTTTATGTAAGTGTGGTTGTTCCAGTTCCTCATATCCCAGATCCAGTGAGACAGAAAATCTTGTTGACTCTTTTATTAAACATATCCTTATTAGACATATCTTGAGTCTGTCCCACCTTGTTTACTGTTGTCACTCAGCTGAATCAACTCATCTCAGTGTGCACATCACTGAAGTAGCCCGCACCCCGGTGATTGCCTCCACATTTGACTATTCTCACACTGCAGCCAGTGGGAGGCTTTTAAAACCTATGTCAGATCATTTTGCTGCTAACATGGTTTTCTGTGCCACCTAAAAGGAAAAGCCATAGTCCTTAGTAAGGGCCTTGTGTGAGCTGACCCCCACCCCCTTTCCCTGTACCACCTTTCATTCCTCATTCCGTTTCTGACCTTTTCTTCCACAACTTCCCCCATTTGCTGTTTCTCTTTTCAGAGAAAGATTCCAACCTGTTTACTGTGTGTTTCCGAACTTTTCTCCATGTCTTTTCTCACCATCTGACATACCACATATGCATATCATATGGTACTTGGCTATTTTTCTTCCTGACCCCTTTCTCCCCAACTCTTCCCCGCTTTCTGATGCACACAAACAAGAACATAAACTCCATGAGGGCAAAGCTTTTCCCTGTTTTATTTACTGCCTCCACAGGCTGGATGTGTGTAACACAGTAGGAATTCATATTTATTGTACTGACATTATCTTGAGGGACAGATTTCTTTAATGTAAAGAAGTTTGGGATTAGAAAGGATGTTATTAAGGCGGTAAAATTGTAGGCATGTAAAGAGGAAGTAATAAAATCCTGACTGGACCTGCCTTTCCTTGAATTTAGTTCGTATTATTATTTGTCCTATAAATTTATATCACTTTCTTAATAAAGCTTTCCCCCCACTATTTTGTCTGAATTAGACTGGTTTTTAAATTATAGCCAAGATCCTCCCTTCCTTGTTAATGTTTGGTTTAATTTTGCATAAAATAGTGTGTTCTGTAACTTAAAAATAATGTCCAGCTAATTAGATGAAAATTAAAATTTTAAATGAACAATTTGAAGGAAGTGCTACCTTGATCAAATCTTTAAAGATTTCATATATGTGTACACACATAGGTGTGTGCATATGTGGAGGAAGGAGTGATTGCAAATATTTTCAGGCAAGAACAGTGTACTTGAGATTATGAATGTATGGCTTTATAAGATGTATGGATTTATATTTTTAGGCAGCTCCTTCATCTCATGGACCTTGGTTATTGGCATCAAATGTTCACATATAATGGAAAACGAGGCACTAAAGGAAGTTCTTCCTGGCTTGGAGTCTTAAAAGAAGAATTAAGTTAGAAGTTAGTTGAGGATAGATAAGATAGACATTTTAGGTAGAGGCAAGAACATAAATTAGTGTAGTACTCTGAAAGTGTGGAGAGACAGAATGGCACCAACCTCTTCTTAGAGTCTGATAAGAGATAAATTAGATTATGTTAACTCTGGATTTTCTTTCTAATGTAACCAAAGAACTTCATGTATTATGATTTAAAAATTCAAATAGTTTTGTAAGGCTTATAATAAAAAAGCCTCAGTCCTTTGTTCCAATTCCTTTCACTGTCCCTGGCCATGTCCCTGTCTCCTTATTTATTTATTTTTAGGAGACCCCCCATTTCTCTCTCTCTCTGGTGCTGGGGATCGAACTAAGGACCTTGTGCATGCAAGGCAGGCACTGAGCTATACCCCAAGCCCTTACCTCACTATTTCTAATTAATATGTTTATTGCTCTTATAGTTACATTATCAAATTTAGACATGAAGACAGTTTTTTAATGTTTACTGATTTGGAGCTGTTTAGGATTTGGCATGGTAAGAGTGGGTGTTTTAGATTATTAAAAAACTATTTTACTCTTCAAAGGCAGATTTACTCTTCAAACACAGATTTCATGTTTAATCATATTTTTGTGATATATAAACTGCATTTGATTTTCTAATATTTTGTTTGAGAGTTTTACATTTTTGATAATTAGTGAGATGACCTTTAATTTACCTTACTCAAATGGTTGTCTAGTTTTTTTTTTTTTTTTTTGTGAGAGAGGAGAGAGAGAATTTCAATATTTATTTTTCAGTTTTCGGCGGACACAACATCTTTGTATGTGGTGCTGAGGATCAAACCCGGGCCGCACGCATGCCAGGCGAGCACGCTACCGCTTGAGCCACATCCCCAGCCCTGGTTGTCTAGTTTTGAGATCAAGGATAGTACTGGTCTGGTAGAATTGCCCTTTTTTTTTTTTTTTTTTTTTAAGATGATGGGTCTTAAACACAGGGCCTGATGACATGCTAGGCAAGTGCTTAACCACTGAGCTATCCACTGAGT